TGGGAAGAATGACATAAGTTGAAAGTAAAGAAGGAGTTTCGGTAAATGGCCATATCTTTCAGCATTTGTTCTCCAACAAAAGCAGGTAAGATGGCTGATTCGTTAAAACGTAATAATGTTTGAAGTTAAGATAAAGAAGAGAAGTGTTGGAAGTAAAATATTATACTTCTATTGACATTAGTCATCTAACCATTAAAGGGTATTTATTCCTATTGCTTTTCTTAAGGTTTTTAAATATGAAGAGATTGACGTCGTGTAAAATTTCAAACTGTAGCTAAGATATTCTTTCAGGTGTTCCGAATATGTTAATGATTGATTCATTGAGAGGTAAAGATTTTTCAGTGTAAAAAAACAAACAAAACATTTAGGTTTTCACATAGTTCAACATGTAAGTTTACATGCGTTTTAGTATTAAAGTTGTCCTATTATTAATTCGTTCGTTTGTTTATTCATATGTATTTCTTCTGCTCTTTGCAGCAGTTCAGCTTAAAGTAATGTAAACTGTTTATTTCCAGTTGACCCCTTTGGTGCATTTCCTTTCATAGTGTTAAAATGATGTCAGGGTTAGGGGTTTTACGTTCAAGCTTCCAAAAAGCAGAGAATTCATCAAAGCCTGAATAATTCTCCATATCCAACCATCACTTTATTAAAACAAATGGAATCCTTAATGATTAGTAAATCAATTCAATTTCTCTATCTTTTTCTTTTGGGAAATCATTTTCAGGTGATAGTCATTGTTTTTATAGTGTCCATCATCTTCAAGAAACCTTCGAAAATGAACGATGCCGATGCTGAAGGTCTCAAAGACAAAACAATCAACAAACTTCAGACGGATGAAGAGTATCTCCATGAGGACTCGCTGACTGCAGGGAAAGGTACTTTTCCTCTCTCTCTCTCTCTCTCTCTCTCACCCACACCCCACACACCCTCTCTCCTTTCCATTTCTCTATCTCGCTCACATTCTCAAATCCTCTCTCTCAAAAGAAAAAAAAGTAAAACCAATTTTCAATTTCAATTATCACCAATTCTATTTATACTACATGACCCTAAAATCCTTTTATCATTGTAACTATAAAACTTATAAGGAAGTCCATACTATTTTTGCAAGCCTTGTAATCTTGGTTCACATTTTCTGTCTAGACCAACTATTTTTGTCTTCCTGAAATGGAATAATATATTGAAAAAATACAATTGTACTGTAGAATGATATACGATAATTGGTTGCTTTTTTCCCCCCCGCAGTCCCTGGCTACTCCATACGACCCAAGACTGCGCCAACCAAGCAGATCTTGCAGGAGGCTCGCAAGGAACGTCTTCGAGACATGCAGGTGTCGGGCGTGATACGGGACGCTTTCTTGTACGCTCTCTTCTTGATGGTGGTCCTGTACCTGGCCTACATCAACAGAGACCCTCAAGCCTTCCTTATGTCTGAAACGATCAGGAATACATTCGTGAGAGATAGCATCGACTACCTTGTGGATGGGGTAAGCATGCATGCTCATTGTGTCAAATCAGTCTATTCAGGCTACCAAAGGTCAAGACGTCAAGTCCCACTGAAATAGAAATAAAAATTAAAAAAAAAAAAAAATCATTATTGTGGTGGCTTCTTAAAGCACATGTCCGTCACGCCATGATGCTTTTAGCCCTTCAGTACCCTGGTCATAGCTGGCGACCAAATATGGAGCAATCTCGCATATCGGGTGCCTATTTACACCTGGGTGGAGTGTGGCAAAAGTAGATTGGCTGGTATGCCAATATGACACACACAAAACTAAAATCTTCAATCTTAGGTCCCTCAGGTATTATAATAGCAGTTTGTTAACTGAAAAGGAAACTTTGCTAATATAAAAACTAAATAAACGGACAATCTTGTTTACCCTGCAGATCTAAAGTAGATGTGGACATCTATTATTTCGATAAAACCGTTCTGCGGTCTGCAATGTTCATTTTACATGATGTAATGAGGAAGAAGTTTTGAGTTAAAATATGAGGATATTTACCATCCTTGCCTTCAGTTCATTTTGAAGGGACAGGGGCATTTATAATTATTACAATTGAGCACTTACTAAGTAAACTTGGTTTCATCCGGTGATCTCTTGGTCCTAAGTCACTGTTTGATTCACAAAGCCACTAAGGGTTGATTAATATACATTCATGAATTCATGCTACTGGGATTCATGGTGCACTTATCCCTTGGCAAAGGCTGTTTCAGTTTGTACTAAAAAAACAAAATGTATACCCCCGGATCCATTATGTACATGACAGGCAAGACATGATGTGTTACACAACAGCATGAAGCCCTGATTATCCCACTAAGTTGCTCGTCTTGACAATTTTCAGCACTCTGTGAGGAAATTCATGTCATAATAGTAATAATTCATACACTCTGTACATTCCTTAGTATAATGAAATGTGTGATATGAAAAGCTCGTAAATATCAGTTCCACTATCAGATTTCGTGTAATTGTTTTGTCAGATGTAGGCTAAAGGGGAAAGAGGACACGGAAAGTAATGGATAGGACAACACAATTGGGAGTACATGAGAAAAAGAAAGAGGAGACAGAAAAAGTATATATATATTTTGTCTATTTAATCGCATAACTCTGTAACAGGTAGAACCGGTGACTTTCGGCGCCCTGTCACAGAGCACGCCTGATGAATTCTGGAACTACATTGAACAGACCCTTATACCAGGTCTCTACGGTTATAAGTATTACAATGGAGAACAGATGCATTGGAGGGATACAAGATTCCTGAGAGATTGGCAGAGCTATCGAGTGGGTCCTGCAAGGCTTCGGCAGCTCAGGGTAAAGCCCTGTGAGTATAAGATGGAAGTGGGTGTGTGGGGAGGTATGTGGGTGTGTGGGGAAGGTATGTGGGTGTGTGGGAGGTATGTGGGTATGTGGGGAGGTATGTGGGTGTGTGGGAGGTATGTGGGTGTGTGGGAGGAATGCGGGTGTGTGGGATGTATGTGGATGTGTGGGGAAGGTATGTGGGTGTGTGGGAGGTATGTGGGTATGTGGGGAGGTATGTGGGTGTGTGGGGAGGTATGTGGGTGTGTGGGGAAGGTATGTGGGTGTGTGGGAGGTATGTGGGTATGTGGGGAGGTATGTGGGTGTGTGGGGAGGTATGTGGGTGTGTGGGAGGAATGCGGGTGTGTCGGAGGTATGTGGGTGTGTGGGAGGTGTATGGGTGTGTGGGTATGTGGGTGTGTGGGAGGTGCATGGGTGTGTGGGGAGGTATGTGGGTGTGTGGGAGGTGTATGGGTGTGTGGGAGGTATGTGGGTGTGTGAAAGGAATGCGGGTGTGTGGGAGGTATGTGGGTGTGTGGGAGGTGCATGGGTGTGTGGGAGGTGTATGGGCATGTGGGAGGTATGTGGGTGTGTGGGAGGAATGTGGGTGTGTGGGAGGTATGTGGGTGTGTGGGAGGTGTATGGGTGTGTAGGAGGTTTGTGGGCATGTGGGTGTGTGGGGAGGTCTGAGGGGTGGAATGTGGGTGTGTGGGAGGTATGTGGGTGTGTGGGATGTATGTGGATGTGTGGGAGGTATGTGGGTGTGTGGGAGGTATGTGGGTGTGTGGGATGTATGTGGATGTGTGGGAGGTATGTGGGTGTGTGGGAGGTATGTGGGTGTGTGGGAGGTATGTGGGTGTGTGTGAAGGTTTGTGGGTGTGTGGGAGGTATGTGAGTGTGTGTGAAGGTTTGTGGGTGTGTGGGAGGTATGTGGGTATGTGGGGAGGTATGTGGGTGTGTCGGGGGAGATATGTGGGTGTGTGGGGAGGTATGTGGGTGTGTGGGGGAGGTATATGGGTGTGTGTGGGAGGTATGTGGGTGTGTGGGAAGGTATGTGGGTGTGTGGGGAGGTATGTGGGTGTGTGGGAGGAATGCGGGTGTGTTGGAGGTATGTGGGTGTGTGGGAGGTGTATGGGTGTGTGGGAGGTATGTGGGTGTGTGGGAGGAATGCGGGTGTGTGGGAGGTATGTGGGTGTGTGGGAGGTGCATGGGTGTGTGGGAGGTGCATGGGTGTGTGGGAGGTGTATGGGTGTGTGGGAGGTATGTGGGTGTGTGGGAGGAATGTGGGTGTGTGGGAGGTATTTGGGTGTGTGGGAGGTGTATGGGTGTGTGGGAGGTTGTGGGCATGTGGGTGTGTGGGGAGGTCTGAGGGGTGGTATGTGGGTGTGTGGGGAGGTGAGTGGATGAGGGTGTCGTAATGGGTAGACAATTGGATATGATTTGGCTTTTGCATATTGTGTATCAATTCCTGATTTTGCACGTCTGGCGGGGGACTCACCTTTCACGTCACCATACAGAATGTGCGACTCTGGATCAAACCCCGTGTCATTTTTAAGCAGACAAGAAGGGCGAACCATAGACCAACTCACGTGAGCCTGGGCAAGTTGTTGGATAGGTCATCACTAAATAGATTTAGCATGTATGTAGTTAGTGAAGAAAATGGATATTTAGATACAACTACAGAAGCAAATGCCCTATTCAAGCGTTACATCCCACTGTGTTTCCCCACTTACATCTTATTTGGAGTGTAGGTTTGCCTATATTTTTCTCAGACTCACTCTCTCTCAAATTATAAAAACCAATATAGAATGACAGAGATGGTGAGGTTACCACGCTGTGACTCATTGCAATTGTCATTATCTACAGTAGATATGTACACTCTACAGACGTATACGAGTTATACGAAGAAAGGGAAATAGGGAATATCAAAAAATGTTCCGATACAAACATGATATTCTTTCCTGTACAGAAAAAATGAGTAGTGGAGAAAGATTTTCTACAAAACTATATGACCATAATGGAAAGACCCTATGACCATAACCCCCCCCCCCCCCCACTGTAGATGAAACAGAGTAGGGGCACATTATAAATGTATATCCGGTGGCAAGTGATATTCTTCCATAGTCATTGATCTTTGTGGGCAATAAGTTGTGGGTGAATTGAAGAACGACCTTTCATTTTTTCTTCTTCTGATTGTTTTATACCCAGTGCCTTGCGAGGTAAATGGAAGAATGGAGAACGCGGTCCAGGACTGCACCTTGGACTACTCTTGGTCCAATGAAGATGAAGGAGTGTTTGCTGCAGACTGGACCTATACCTGTGACCCTGGTGATGACAATATCCCTAATTATGCTTTCTACGAAGTGGATGAAGTAAGTGAGATTTACACCCAAATAGTGTTTGTTGTATGGTTACAGTTAAAGGGCAATCCAACCTTTGTAATAAGTTCATTTGTATTAAAATTCCACTGCACTACTTGTAGCTACTTGCGCCCTCTATATAACAAACCATGCCTAATCGGTGACCATTGGTCCCCCATGATCCTCTTTTTCTTATGTTAACTGAGAGCTGAGTTGATGAGATAACCACCTGTCCTGTGACCTTGTAGGGCGGTCTAATCCCTCCTGTAAACTATGGCAGATAAGCTTTAAAGAAAGCTGAAAAATAAGGGAAGCAGAATTCATCTCTGTATTTAATCTGGTCAGGCGATGCTGTCCTTGCTTGACATTCATTGCTTGACCTATTTTTAAATGAATGACTTGTCCAAGCACTAATCATGTGTCTTGTCGTGCATGGAAAAGTAATGAGATTAATTCTTGGGAAAAGAGCAGTGTTGTACTCTTTATAGTCTTATCACCCTTTTGCGCCTGCATTGTGCCCAATAGACATTATTTCGTTGGTTGTATCAAAAGAACGATAAATCAGAAACCTACTGATACCTTGGTATAATCTTGATCCATATCTGCCATTCTAGACCAGACCTTGGCGCTATCAAACGGCCGTAGATCTCTATGGTGTCCCCTATCAAAGCAACCTGTTTATCTACGGAGGTGGTGGCTTCGTCGCCGAGTTCGGACTGGAACGCGAACAAGCGATGAACACATCGCGGTACCTTCGGGACCACGGCTGGTATGACAAGTACACCCGAGCAATCTTCATCGAATTCACGGTGTACAATGCCAATGTCAATCTGTTTAGTGTGGTGACTTTACTGGTGGAAACACCAACGTTTGGTGGAGGGGTGCCCTCCAACTTGGTCCACACCTTCAGACTCTATCAATACTCGGGAGGACTCCTCATTGTAGCAGTGGCCTTTCAGGTAAGTACTGAACAACTGATTATAGCTCATCTTTGTCGTGGGTGTTGCCACGTGTAAAACGGCAATTGGTGATTAATATAAAACATCCCGCCGTATTGAGATTCATTCCTGCAATTTGTTTGTATAACCTCTACTTCCCTAACTATCCTGACATGACCGTCATGAAAGCATCCGGTCTATAATAATTTGATAGTCTTGTAACTGTTTGGCATTCTTTCAGCTTTTAAATTTCTTTCATTGAAAATAACATGGTCAATGAGCTTGCAAGAAATTATGCTGCAGCATGGATGGAATTGTTCGAGATAAGATAATTAAGATTTAAGTTTTTAAAGTTTTTTGAGTTTAAAAAAAAAAGGATTACAAAAAGAGTAAAATCTTTCTCTGCTAGCTGAACAGTTTCTATAGATCTAAATTATCTCTTTTGTCTCTTTTGTCTAATGTGATAATTTTTCCAGGGCATATTCGCTGTTTATCTTCTTTACTTCTTGGGTCATTTCATCTACCGTCTCAAGAAAGAAGGGAGGAAAGAACTGAAGAACTTCTGGATGATCCTAGAGGGCAGTATGCTCCTCTTTGGAATTCTAGCAGCTGCCATGTTCATCATGAGACAAATATTTATTTATTTCACTCTCCAAGAAGTCAAGAAGAAAGATGAAGGTTAGGGTTCATAATTGTTTTGAAAATCATTCCTTCTTACATTTAAAGATAAAGTTGAGTTCTGGTCATGCGATTGCATTGTGAAAGAAATGTTGTGGAATCGATCAGAAAAGGTTGATCATCTAGCAAATGAGTATTGGTATGTACCACAAGGTTCTGGAATCATCAAAATGATAAGAAACTGGACCCATTCTTGGAAAAAGTTACAAGCAATGTACATAGAAAGATGTATATGGGACTACACGAACATGTGGCATAAAAATCCATCCCGATTTATATGATGTTACATGCCATATTTAGAATATGAAAGCATTTGAAGAGCCATGCTTTTCAGGGAACATTTTTTTTATCTGATGTTCTTCCACACTTGCATACAATGATAACGCTCACAGATTATGTTTCACCTCTTCCCAGAACTCAACCTTCTCTTATATAGCCTAGCAGAATCCAGTGTGATTATTGCTATTAATGTCAAGAAACTTCGTTTTTAGTTACTGAATTTTAATTTTTCCCAGCACTTGGCGGAGATGCTTACACTGTCTTTTGAATCTTGTGGGATGATGAATAGATCACCCCACACATCTTTTGACTAATTGACTGATATAGCCATAATCATATTGTGAATTCAGTGTGTTTAGAGTTCTTTGTCATTAAGTGGTGACAGCGTTGGGATATAAAACCATGCCATCGAAATTAATTGAAAGGAAACATTTTCATTGTATTGCAGAATATCCCACATTTTGAATTCTTTATCTTTTGTGCATATGGATATTGTGTTGATGTTGACATTGGCAATCTCCAGCATCTATTATTTGATATACTGCTCAAATATTGCATTTTCATAAAAGAATTCGTCTTGAGTTTTACACATGCAATTGCTAGCATTCTAACCATGTACTGAAATGATTACAATATTGATTCATGTTTCAATATTAGCGTGTTTTTTGCAAAGACACCACAACACCTTTAGTTGACTTCAACCCAGTGGATACTAACCCAGCACGGACTTGAAACTGATTCAGACTTTCAGAGTGCATGTTAGGTGAAAATGAAATCGTTTTCAACTGGTTAACTTCCTTTATTTCCTTTACTATCCGTCGCACAGGAGGTTATGTGAATTTCAACCACATTGCCAAGTGGGATCAAATCTTTGGCTACCTCCTGGCCACCCTGACCTTCCTATCCATCCTGCGCTTCATGCGTGCCCTACGCTTCAGTGCAAGGGTCACCCACGTCGCTTTCGCTCTACAGAGGGCTTCGAAGGACATGCTCTACTTCCTGTTCATGTGGTGCATCATCGTGATTGCCTTTGCTCTGTGGGGCTATGCTGTCTTCAGTAGGTCCGTCTTCACCTTCCACACATTCCAGGTAAATCTATCATTTTCTTCCACTGAGTTTGAGTTTGAAGTTTATTATCCATGCAAACAAAAAGTATATCAATAACAATCAAATGTGTATGTTTAACAGAGAGAGAATAAATGGGACCAGAAAATAGCATTAAATGCTAATCGTGTCTGGTACCACTAACACATAAAAGTATTACGACAATGAATGAGAATGTAATTATGGTATCATTTTTTCCCACTATGGTGGCATCAACTTAATCTGTATTATATTGAAATATTTTATTTGTTGGAAGCAAGAACAGTATCAACACATTTGATTTAACTCAGAATTAATACACTTCTTGCTCTAATTGCCAGACAATTATAGATCTTTGGGGGTGTTTCACAAAGATCCTAAGTTGAACTTATCTCAAAGTTGGACTTAAAAATTATGGAAAGCCATTAGCATCTTTGAAAATATTTTGTAAAAGTTATTTTGAAAGGCATAAAATGTTGATTCAAATCATTCATATTTTCTATCATCAAGGAGATTTCATGTTCTGGATGTGGTATTTACAAAAAGTCTAAAATACTTGCATTTCTGCTTTTGAATATATTTCATTTTAAGACTCCAATGGCTGTCCATAATTTTTAAGTCCAACTTAGAGTTAAGTTCTACTTAGGATCTTTGTGAAACACCCCCCAGAAATGAGAAGTATAATGAGGGCAAGGTAAAATAGATATACATATAGTTACTGCCTGGCCTGGCACTTGTTACCTATAGATGATACTGTATTGTCTTATCACAGTAATTGTCTGAAGTGAGCAATTAGTATTCTTTCATGTACAGTATATATATCCCTTTATGGTTCTCTGCAAACCATTCCAGAGTGCTGATGCTCATACAGCAGTCGGCACTGATCAAATTATGATTTAGAGAAATATAACCGTTCGTTAAAATGTTGTTTTCCGTCGATCTGCAGGCCGTGTTGGAATCGTTGCTTGGCATGATGATAGGTTCCTTTGACTTCTACGCCTTGTCGTCCGTGGAGGCTGTCATTGGTCCTATCTTCTTCACTCTTTACATCTTTGCAGCGTACTTCATGTTGGCTAACATGCTCATCACAATCATTGTAGAGGCTTTCGCTAAGGTAATCAATCGAACCTATATCTTCACCCATTTCCCCTTTTTGCCACTATGATTCCTTATGTTAGAAGGGTTCGTTCTATCTCTTTGATTAGGATTTCCAATGCATCTTTTATGCATCGCTGGCTGCCTGCAATTAAGTAAGCAGTAATAACTATGTATTGTCTGTGGCAGTAATTTGATTCTTTCGAGCAGCCAGGGACAATGTGGCTAATGGCCTTATTGCAAAAACAACTTTCTACTTTTTAAAAGATCTCTTTTGATAGCCATTTAGTAGTTTAATTTTCCTGACATAGCAACAATCAAATCAAACAAGACAATACATGTATAATACTTATTTTACTTTCATTTGCATAACTTTTTTGATGGTCATTTAATTATATTTGAACTTGCAGTAGTCTACAGTCATTTAAGTAGAACTTACAGGAAAGTCACTTGAGCCATTTGAGTAACCAAACTTCAAAAATCCCCTTCCTACAATAAATATTATTCCTCAAATTGACAACTCTCATCAATCTCCTTTTATATCAGTCCAAAGAGGATCCGGAAACAACCGCCAACACGTTCCCAATAGGTCGGCACATGATGAAAAGGTTCAAGATGCGGATGGCCAGCTATGGTATCGGGTCTAACTCTGTGGGGCCAGCTCCTAAGAAACAAGCCGACAAGAATGCAGATGACAAGGATAAAGAGGATGGTGCAGAAGGTAAAGTTGTAACCATATAAACGCATACCACTTGTAAGGTTTTGTGTCGCATCCAGTATCTACATCAGCTGTTTTTGAGGCAAAGCGTTGTATATATTTTGGACTTTTTTGGAGACCGTACATGTACTCTATGCAAGTGCCCAAAACCTGGAGATGTTTAAAATATTTTATATATATATATATATATATATATATATATATATATATATATATACAGTGCGTCCAAGAAAAACGAAACCGAGAACTATTGATGTTTTATCATAACTTAATCACAATTATAGTTAATAAATGACACATATTTGGAAAGCTTAGATCCTCCTCTTTCATATGATGCAACTCATATGATGCATATTTCACGCATGAGTGATTAAGAGCAATTTGAAGAGAGGAAACAAAAAGTAATTTGGCGGGCGGTATTTGAATTTTAAAGGTAAAATCACATTTCTAGAAAGTTCAATTTCTCCCCTTTCATATGACACCTCAATCAGGAAAGATGAGCCAGGAATAACAAAGTTCTGTTTGTTTAACGTAATGCTTGCATTTCCATAATTTGATCAAACAGGTTCGTTTTTCCTGGCTGCCTGCCGTTGCAAAGAACAAAGTTGACAAAAGACTTAATTCCGTTTCGTTGACGATCAGCCATGCTCAAAGAATACGAAAGGCCTGATGCATGGCTGATCTTCAACGAGACAGAGTTAAGTCTGTTGTCAACTCTGTTTGTTGCAACGGTAGGCAGCCAGTGAAAACGAACTTGTTTGATCAAATTATGGAAATGCAAGCATTTTTTTAAACAAACAGAACTTTGTTATTTCTGGCTCATTTTTCCTGATTGAGGTGTCATATGAAAGGGGAGAAATTGAACTTTCTAGAAATGTGATTTTCTCCTTGAAATTCAGATACCGCCCGCCAAATGACTTTTTGGTTTCCTCTCTTCAAATTGCTTTCAATCACTCATGCGTGAAATATGCATCATATGATTTGCGTCAAATGAAAGAAGAGGATCTAAGCTTTCCAAATATGTGTCATTTATTAGTTTTAATGGTGATTAAGTTATGATAAAACATCGATAGTTCTCGGCACGTGCCCCCCGTGCCCCCCCCCCCCCCCCCCCCCCCCCCCCCCGTGGCTACGTGCCTGCCAAGTATACAAGTGAAAATGTTGATCTTTCCTAAGATGTCTTCTGTATTTGTTGTTCTGTAGGCGATGACCCAGATTACCAGGACATGATGCAAACAATTGAGACGCGAGTTGATCAGCTGGTCTTATTTGTCATCAAGAACTATGGTGACGGTAAGAGTGCACCAATGGGCAGCAAGGCTACCCTTAGTACCTTTGAAGCTATGGTCAAGAAAGACATAGAGACGGTCAAGCAAAGGAAGACCCGAACCATCATGATCACCTAGATGTCCGAAACATCAGGGTCACCTTGCTGTCTGTAAATTCAATCGTTTTTTAGTAAAGTAAGGGAATTAAAAAGACTGACTTTATTGACAGGTTACTGTAAGGTGGACAGAAATAAAAATCATTTAAACATACTATTCTCAATGACATCTGCTAGTATTTCGACATTAATGTCAAAGGATCTTCAACCTGAAAAATTAAAAGTTTTGTTATTGGGATGCTCCAAAATGGAGCTGTGGTTTTATGAAGTGATCATGACCAAAAGACAGAAGGTTAATTTCTAGGCCTTGCAAGTGCAAATGGTGAAGTTAGAATAAATCAGAGTCTGTTAATATGATCAATATGTGCCATAGAATATTCAGATGACTCTATTTCCAGTAATAGGATTATCATAAATGGAGATTCTTTAAGGTCATATAAAGAAGACAAAAATACAAAATTTACAAGTGACCTACACGTATTGGCACTTACTTATCAATTTGTTTCCAGAGTAAAATCTGTTGCAAGTCCAAAATGAACGATAATCTTGGCAGATTTGACATGGAAAATAGTTTGTAAATAAAGCACTCTCTAGCAAAATCTGAAATCTGTAAATATTATCTGTGTGGGTTAATTATGTATTTTAAAAATGGAAAAATAATTATATATTTTCTCCTGGAAAAGAGATATACACATGTTCAAAATTATGATATTTAATACCATGTAAAAATAAATCTTAAATCATTGTTTTTTTCTTCTTTTTGCATTCCACTGTCAATATCTCGAGCATCAGCAGCTCGTTATTTCAGAATTTATAATGATTTGTCTTGTTAGAGACTTTTTCTGGTAAGTGAAAAGCACTAAAAATGTGTACATGTTAGATTTAATATTTGCAGTAAGTCAATTGTCCACTATGTACTAATATCCAACTTTGTGCAATATGTAAAAAAAAAAAAGTGCAAAATAAGCATGCAATATTCTCTTTGATCAAACCATCTTTTCTTTGAATTGTTAAGAGAAGTAGAGAAGCACAATCAGGACACTAAATAAAATGTAACTTCTTTTCAAATTATGTGCAAAATTGAGCTCACTTTTATGAAGTATACAAGAATAATCTTACAAACCTAATTAGCATATTTACCTTTTAATGTTTACAATATTTGCTGTAAGCTCATTATATACCAATCATTCGAAATCCTAAGGCTCATAAGCTTCAGTATGTTGACATACAACATCATATATTACAGTGATTATAATTTTTATTTCAAAGAATGAGGTTATAAAGAGGTTTTTTTTTAAAACTCGGATCAGGATTTACTGTATGATACATGTGATGTTTTTCATGGAAGTTCTGTTGTGACTACATGAAAGAAAATAGTAGAAATTTACCAATATAGAGCGAGATATATATTTTATATGATACTGCATATCATCATCGGTTCGGAGGCAGAGGAACATCAACTCTGTTAAAGATAAAGACCAGTTTTGGAAACGCCCCAATTTCAAAAAAATGAAATGGAAGCTCTTATTACCAATCATGTGAAAGAATATGTTTTGACCAATACATGATGATAACAATTTTGCCGGGAAACCGCCTACTTATTGATATATTTGGTAAATTAGTTTATCTATTGGCCTGTGAGAGATAAACGCACGTGTGCGTAGTCACATCTTTCTGTGTACAGTGCTTGTAACTTTACGAAGACTGGGCAAAATTTCTTATCAATTTGATGATTCCAGAACCTTGCAGTACACACCAATACTTATTTGCTAGATGATCAACCTTTTCTGATCGATTCCACAACGTTTCTTTCACAATGCAATCGCATGACCATAACTGGTCTTTATCTTTAACGTATATGAGTTAATGCCCTTCTGGCCCCAAAAAAGATAATATATTATATTTTAAATAAACTACCATTATAGAGCCATTATGTATTAGTTTTAAGAGCAATAGGATATTTTGTGAATGCTTAGCTGTACATAAAAAGAGCAAATATATTCATCTTTGAGAGTGATTTTAGATTTAATTTGAGCCATGGTATGAGTGCCTATTGATCTTCTATAGCAAAGAAAAATGCTGTGCCTACTTTATTGCTTGTACAAAATTAAGAAAAATTGTTCTATTATCATATACATGTCGTAGCACCAACTGGAATGTCTTGAATAGAGAAGGGGCACATGTCACATAACCCTCCAACAGAGGGCAGCATATTAAACACTATGACAAATATTGCTAGATAGTGGAAGGAAAACTGATTAGAAAGATGCGTCCTTATGTGCTACTACATTTGGCTATGTGTTCCTTTGATCAGCAGAGTTCTTCATCGTTTCTAAAAAAATGTCTTTCAATATGCATATAACTTTAGTGGGTCTGTGTTATTTCTATGACCTTTCCCCTATGGATGAGTTATATTCTAATTAGAAGTGTTGTGTAATTTACAAAGTATTGGGTTTCTCATTGTTTTGGCACAGAGTGCATTCATATATCTAAAAAAAATTAAAGTACCGCATTCATATATCGATCTAATGGAATAAAAAGTACTGCAATATTCATTGTTTTGACACAAAGTGCATTCATAATTTCATATATTTAATGGAATATAAAGTATCGCATTAAAGGTATTACAAAGTTTTGGTATGGGGTCATGAATTTGGTTCAAATGAACATATTGGAAGCATATGCGTTCCTACGATATCCATTGATCGTTGTCGCGGTTGAAATCGAGTCTAAAGTTATGAAATAATAAATAATAAACTCTTTATGTTGTATAGCTCCCTCTCAAGGTCAAGATATTAATTTAGCTATGAAACGATGTTTCTTGACTAAAATCGACCGATTAGCTATTCTCGTTTGGAAATTGTATATCACAACAACATATTCTGAGATTTTCATGGTCGCAGCTACCATTGAACGGCCATAGGCGCTATCTGAAATTTATGAAAATTTACCGGGAGCACCGGTAAATTTTTATATTAAATTTTTCTCGAAAACAGAAGTGTTTTGGGGGCTAATTTTTTTAGTGCTTATAAAACATCAACAGGGGCATCCAAATATATAAAATTGTAAAGATTCACTTTCCACCCAATTTTCAAAATTTCCCGAAACTTTGTATTACCTTTAATCTGGAGCTTTTGTAATATCACATGAATAATGTCAGAACATTTCATTGTCCCGTTTGACTACATTTTTTAATACCCCAGTTGCAGTTTGATGGAAATATCAATAACAATAACCAAGGCTGAAGTTAGTTAAAGATTCAAGATTAAATTAAGAGGTAATATGTATGGAAGAAAAGAAGCAGAGAAGAAGTATCATTCATGATAAAATGCAATGAAATTTAATTTCAACAATTTCCAATCGATGATAAATGTAGTACAGTTTATTTCACCTTGATTCACATTTACAGCAATAAACATCTGATTTCTGCACTAATTCTGTCACTTCATGCTCGACTCTTTCTTTTGGTCATACCATGAGGACAGCAACATTATTCGTTATCATTATCATCTCATCAGATAGTTTTCATTGATAATGATGTGAATACATTCATACAAGTTTACACAATATAAAGAGAACCTCTCTCATTGTAATAGAACTTTCTCTCATATAAAACATAGATATCTCTAATTTTGAAACGGCACATGGTAATTTGGATAAAAGATATGGAAACAGAATAATAGACTTTCAAAGTCATATTAAAAAGAATTAATACAAAAAGAAATTATCTTCATTCTTTGATTTGACCAGTTGGTGCCCAATAGTAATTCATATAAGAATAAACATACACAAATCATGTCTGCTATTTCAAACTATAATTACAAGCTTTAAAAAAAATATTCTGATGAAATGATAAGCACGCAGAGAGAAAAATATTATTAATATGAAATGATACCCTGGACTGCATAGATGCCAAGATTCCACAACCTTTCAGTTTTACACAGACCACAGTATCTGTACTCAATTTAATGAAATAACTATCACTCATGAGAGAAAAATATAGTTTTGTGAATCTTGAAATCCATGACATAATTTCAATCTTATTATCCATCCCTGGGGGGTGTTTCACAAAGATCCTAAGTTGAACTTATCTCTAAGTTGGACTTAAAAAATATGGAAAGCCATTAGCATCTTTGAAAATATTTTGTAAAAGTTATTTTGAAAGGCATTCATTGTTTATTGAAATCATTCATATTTTCTATCATCAAGGAGATTTCACGTTCTGGATGTGGAATTAATAAAAAGTCTAAAATACTTGAATTCCTGCTTTTGAATATATTTCATTTAAAGACTCCAATGGCTGTCCATAATTTTTAAGTCCAACTTAGAGTTAAGTTCTACTTAGGATCTTTGTGAAACACCCCCCAGGTCATGTTTCCTTGTCTCAAAAGATTCTGCAGTGCACATCTTATCACTGTGGCTCAGAGTGACACTCCACAAGTCCAGGCAAGAAAGGAGTCTGGATGTTAAGGGTACATGTACTGAGATTGGATGAGAAGTCAACATCACAGCAGAAATGAAAGTAGATGGAAGGTGAATGAATGGAGCAGCATTTTTCAACCTTTTAAAAGTCATGACACGCTTTTGAGAAATATTAACTTAGTCGTCTTTAAAATGCTATTTTATCATGAAAATACATAGCGGTTTCTACTACTATATTTTCATGAAAGTGACATTTATGGATCCGAAAATAGATCTTCCATTAATATCTCACACGGCACCTCTCCCGATGTCCTGCGGCACCCCGGTTGAAAAAACGCTGGAATGGATGAATGGGTGGATCAGTTGTCCTTGAAGTCAGCGGCTCTCTTTCCTACAAATGCCCCCATTCCTTCCCTTGCATCCTCCTGTAGAATGAACAAATGAACAAAAATAAAACATCACTTATTGACAAACAAAACTAGTTCCTTGTCCTGAGTTGTGTCTTTCATTTTTTGTCACTTTCACAGCTTTCATTTCTTCCTTACCAAAGTTAGTATTGGTCAGCTCACTAAAACATAATTAAAACTACAAAACCAAAGACAAGTTTTAAAAAAGTACATGTTGAAGCATTCAGTTTTTAAACTCAGAGAAGCACAAAACAAGAATCGTAGGTTTTTGTTATCCAAGCTATTCATGGTCAGATAGTTAGATATGTTCAGATCTTGTCAAAGTATAAAAATGAAATCTCCCTCCCCCTCCAACAAAAATTCAGAAGTGGCAAACTTAAATAACAAATGCAGGGTGTGCTTGACATGTCTGCATCTTATTACACACAAAGCAGCTAGTATTAAAGCTTAGAGGCCATTCTTGTATGAAGCAAAGTTTGGCTGCAGCGGTGGTATTCAAACATCTTCATTCATTAGCAGAGTTGAACATTAACCCCTATTCGGCACACTCTTAAGAACACTTTCCACGAAATATAAACCATTTCTGCATTTGAAAAATACAAAATCACAAAAGGTACCCAATTTATGCAAAAACACTTTCATATGTTTTTGCCAAACTATGACCCTCTTTTTCCATAAAAATGTCTTGCTCTTCAACAAGAAAGTATCCTTTGAGTGTAAACTCAGCTGCAAATGTTCATAGTAATAGAATGTTTTAATGAATGAATTTATTTCAAACCCATGAACATCAAAACTTTTGCAAATATCCCTGAAAATGTCTAACTATCGTGCATGCACAAAGTCAATATGAATGAAGGGATGCCACTGGAGCTTTACGCTTTCAGGGTTTCTTACCGTTCCAAAGCAAGCGTGGAAGAGCCTCTTCTCAAAGTGCATGCCTTCATTGAGTGTGAGTTCGTAGCTCGTGTTGACGGCCTCCTTGCAAAGAGAGTTGATGAGCTTAGAGTTCTTACTGATCTTCTCACCCAGCGCGATGGCCTTCTCCAGTAGCTCCTCGACAGGGTAGATCTTGCTGACAAGTCCTGTTAAAGATAGAGATGGGTACACGCAATCACAGGTGAACTTCTCTGTTCCATAAGAAGGTTAGGTCCAACAAAAGTATTGGGCCTAATCAAAAATAAAAATTCAGATTCAGTCTGTCTATGTATTTTTATTATCACAAATGAGAATAAGATATTTTCCATTTTTTGCAACTCCATTTATTCCATTGATGAAATGTCAAGGCAGGTTCTCTATAAAGATTATTTTATGAAGATTTTCATCAAAGATTTCTCTAAAGAAAATATATATTTTCTATAAAGATTGTTCTTACACAGTGCAAGTGGTTCCCCTTAATCAGAGCTACTAAATTAGACATGAACTTGTCAAATAAAAGATGCAATAATGCTAATATTATTGTGGTTTACTTCAAAACGTATGTCTATAACTAAGTAAGAGTATTAAAACAATCTCCCAGAAGGAAAATTTGATGAGGGCTACAAGTTAATGGATGTCATACCTGCTTGTAGAGCTTGCTGAGCTGTGATCCTATCACCAGAAAGAACCATCTCCATAGCCAGAGACTTCCCTACAGCCCTGGGTAACCTCTGGGTTCCACCAGCACCTGTAATGAAAGAAAACAAAATTTTACATATCAGACAGAATTAGTAGACAACAGCAGAATAATGAGAATAGTAGGATATGGGTATAAAAATAGCAATCAATTGATGGTCCTGTTTTCTGAGATTTCATTCTTCTTCCATTCTTGTTCATTCTTGTTTCATTCTTGTTTCTTCTTGTTTCATTCCTGTTTCATTCTTCTTGACCCCTTTCCCTCTCCTCCCCTAACATGACAACATTGCGACCTTGATGGATGAACCCTATGCTACAACACTACCTCCAGGACCATCTCATCTACCTCCTTCATTTTGACATTTTCTTCTTACCAGCCTTTGTCTGTCTTTCAAAGCCACCTAATCTGCTGAGGAACCCAGTCAAATCCAAAGCTGCGTCACCAATGCCTTCTCTCCAGTAATGATGATAGTACATATCATGCTAGCATCCCATCCTCCTCCACACCACCCCTCCTCCCACTCCTTCCTCCTCATGCCCCTCCCCATCCAACAACCTTACTGATCTACAATGTTTCCTCTCCATTAATGATATCACATTTGGCAACCCCATCCCATTCCCTGCTCTCACTCCATCTATTGCCCCCCCCCCCCCTCCAGCTCCCCTCCATCTTTTGCCCCTCACCCTCTCCAGTTCCCCTCCATCTATTGCCACCCAATCTCCAGCTCCCCTCCATCTCATAACCATCCTCTAGGGAGGCAAACTCACCTGGGATGAGACCAAGGAGAATTTCCGGCTGACCAAACGATGCCTTCTCTCCTGCATAGATGATGTCACACATCATGGCAACCTCACATCCTCCTCCAAGCTATTTCAAAATAAGAAAAAGAAAGAAAACGTATTAAATGGGATGCACAGTGCAATGCTTTACTTATGAAAACCTTCAAAATAAACTGAATATTTTTCAAATCTGATCAATCTAATCTGATCAACTGATTTGCAACAATTTTCAGAATGTTTACCTTTCAGCATGACCTGCTAAATAAAAATTCAGTAGAAAATGTCTGAATAATCAGGAAAGATATATATTGCAATCAAGCTAGCTGTCCTCAATGTGTATCATGCCACATAATTACATGGATTCATGAATGTCATTCCCTGGAAGACTAAGTTAGCTTGTTTAAATTTGCTGATGTGAACGACTAGTGCATGGCCAGTTTATCTTATAATGCATTTCCATTACTTCAGTTTTATTCACAAGTCTTGGTCAACAGTCCCTATATCGATCCTACAGTACTCTGGCTAATTAAAGATAAAGTTGAGTTCTGGTCATGCAATTGCATTGTGAAAGAAACGGCATGGAATTGATCAGAAATGGTACTTGGTACGTGGTTGGGTTATCCCTTTGGCAGCTCACTCAGGAAGCTATTATGGGAGGTAGGTGAGGCAAGTAACTACAAGGAGTGTCATGAATTGCAATGTGTACTGCAAAGTTCTGGAATCATCAAAATTATGAGAAATTTGGTCCAGTCTTGGTAAAGTAACAAGCACTGTACACAGAAAGATGTATATGGGGCTACACGAACATGTGGCATAAAAATCTGTCCTGATGTTTATGTTGTTACATGCATATTTAGAATATGAAAGCATTTGAAGAGCCATGCTTTTCAGAGAACATTTTTCATCTGATGTTCTTCCGCACTTGCATAATAACAATGATAACGCTCACAAATTTGTTTTCACCTCTTCCCAGAACTCAACCTTCTCTTTAAGTGTTTGCAAAAACTTGAGCTCAATCAGCAAATCTTTGAAACATTTACTATATCTCCCAATAACATGAACTCAAGGTTGGACTTACAGCAAAGCCATTGACAGCTGCAATGGTGGGTTTCTTGGATTTTGAGAGTCTGCTCCAAGATTCTAAGAAGTTTGCGCCCAGCGTCTCCTGAAACGTCAAGCCTGACATCTCCTTGATATCAGCTCCAGCTGGAGTAACAAACACAGGAAAGAATAAGCGGAACGTTAGGATGCGTTTATCAATAATTTGTTTCATTTATCAATGCATGTATACTTGAAGGATATATATTAAAAGACTTTTGATGTTAAAGGGATAGTTGAGTTCTGTTGCAGAGCTCAACTATCCCTTTAAGAAATATTGTTGATTTTTCTAGAGATGCTCAATATGAAGGGAAAAAAAGGTTATTATCAACAGAACATGTTGAGATATTCTTTTGTTCCTTTGTGAACACTGTGCTACAAGAAGAAATGGAGAAAGAAATACAAATTTTGTTTCATTTCCATAATCCCTTGAAATTTAGGTGTAATTAAATATATGTTTTACAGAGACAAAATGGACATTTGTTATCTAAAAAAATCTGATCACAAACACTTACAGATGAAATTATATGAATAACCAATAACCAGGGCATGGCTAATTGTTATATCATATCAAGACCAGCGCTCAAAATACACGGGGGCGGTGGGCGATTCGCCCCCGTGAGCTCTATAATCGCCCCCGTCATGTTGCTCACGGGGGCGATTGTAAAATTAAAAATCGCCCCCGTGGAATTATAAAATAAAGATTATCTTTTCTGATATACCTTTAACACAATATTGAGTAGCAATTTTCAAACCTTAAACTAATGAAATGGAACTTAGATGGCACCTTCTCTCCCATCTCTATGAGTATTACCGATAAATACAACGGAAGCTCGCAGTGCAGCTAGTGCGGCCCTCAGCAGTGGCTACTGCACCGGTAGTAACGGTGAGCACTCTGAAGCCCAATATCTGCTGGAGCAGGAGACGATCGCGCAAAGACTGAAACATGGAGAAGTTTTTCGTTGTGAAAAGTGTGAATCCTCTGAAATCTGGTGATTCTAAAAGACCAGCAAATAATGTAACTCGATCAGTATATCAATATTGAGAAGAAGAAGAAGATGTTGCAGGGGCGGATCTAGGCGGTTTAAGGGTTTAACCCCCCTCCCCCCTTGGGCTGTCAAGTGAAAATGTGATGTGCATAGAAAAATGCTATCATGTGTCCAGACCTACACAGCATTAGTAGATGCCAGAAAAACATCACTATAAACGGGGGTTCAAAAAAGTACCAAAAAATCGCCTCGCCGCTTTGCGGCTCGTGGACGATGCTCCGCATGTCAGCAGAACATCACTTATGGAAAACTTCACTTACGGGGGTTCAAAATAGCAAAAACAAAAATCGACTCGCGGCTCGTGGACGATGCTCCACACCGTATTTGGGTTACCCCCCCCCCCACCCTTAACAAAAAGATAGATCCGCCCCTGTGTTTTGGAAGGATATGGTAAAGAATAAAAGTAAAGAAAGAATGTAAATAAGGTTGCTCGAATAATGAGGAGGAAATTATGTGCAGAACGGGAAGAAATGTAGAGAATGTCATCACGGGATATAAGTCAATAACAGCAATGTAACAAGTAAATTTCTAACAGGGAAAATGCCGACTTAAATAAATAATAGTAAAATACCAAGGAGTTTCTTGGGTACAAATTGAATGGAAATTTGTATTAAAATAAGAGCCCCCGTCAGCACTAAAAGAGCCCCCGTGAGAAGGCTCACGGGGGCTCTTTTTTCTTTGGAAGAGCCCCCGTGGACAAAAAATTAATTTGAGCCCTGATCAAGACTCTCTGTCGAAACCTATATACATTTATATCAGATTCTAAAGTATATCCCTTTGCAAGGATACAATGTTTTTTTTTATCAAGAGAGCTCTTTTAGAATTTACTTTAAAAATTGTGGAATATTATCACTGCATGTCTAATGTTTGTTTGTACGCTCTTTTATTTTTCATAATTCTTTTTTGCAAATCTTTGCTTGATTTTTCTAGAGCTGACCAGGCAGACTAGCTCTTGGTATTCCACTCTCTGCCATTTTTTGTTTTGGCTACTTTTTTTTTTCTTCACCTGACCCTTGCATTACAACGGTAGGATCACTCACCTGCAAATGCTTTCTCACTCCCCGTCACCACAATGGCACCTACATTTTTATCAGCCTCAAAATGATCTAAAGCCAGTGCCACTTCATTCATCAGATCATCTTTGAGAGCATTCAGTGCCTTGGGTCGGTTTAACTTGATCAAACCAACATTCTTCTTTTCACCAACATGGTCGACGATGATGTTCTCATAGGCTCCTGTATCAGAGACAATACAAATATAAGGCTTCGTTTGAACCGAGTTTACACTGACTCTAGTCACACGGAACAGATTGACACCACTTACAATACAAATAGATCAAACCTAAAATTACATTATCCCAAATAGCCAAGAATCGGTTGGTTTTGAATCAGTTTGCCAGGCTTTTTGGAGTTCGTTTGGCAGTATGAATACCTGAATACCTGAATACCAAAGCTTCTGGAAGAAAGCCGTCTCCAGCTGCCAAGCTTCCAGGTCTAACTTCAAGGGGGGGGGGGGATGTCCCAGCTTCCGGGTCTTGCACCATAGTCATTTTACATCTGTATCTTGCTTGCTGGGTCATATCAGGATTGTCATAACTGGAGTGTCAACTGGGAGAAGGGTGAATGATATTGCTCCTTCTTCCAGTGTTTGTCAAGTCTGGCTTTAAAGCTGTTTACCGAGGTTGCAGATACTACCAACTCAGGGAGGGAGTTCCAGTCGTTGAGGACCCTGTGGCTAAATGAGTCTTGCCTGAGTTTGGTGTTGCACCTGGGTTTGGTCAGTTTGAAAGCATGCCCTCTCGTTGTTGAATTGATTGCAGGTGTGAAGAATTGGGTAGAGTCCAACCTGTCAATGTTCTGCATCAACTTGAACACCTGAATCATGTCTCCTCGGCGGCGGCGGTGGCTAAGTGAGGGAAGTTTCAAACTCTCAAGTCTCTCATGATAGCTTTGGAGTTTTATCTCTGGTACCATTTTTGTTGCTCTTTTTTGTACCTTCTCTATGATTTTTTCGTCCTTCACATAGCGAGGGTGCCAGATTACATTGCCATATTCCAATATGGGACGAACAAGACCTTTATAGAGGAGTGGAATTGTTGATCTGTCCTTGCAAGTGAAAGATCTACGTATGCGAGCTAGTACTCCATTTGCTTTTCTAGCAGCAATTGCAGATTGTTGACGAAATCTGAGCTTCTCGTCAATGACAACTCCAAGGTCCTTTTCTTCTTTGGTTTCTGGGATCTTTACACTGTCTAGCTCATATTCCCTCCGTGGATTGCCTGCCCCTAGGTGTGGAGGTCTTAACATGATTGAACTTGATATCCTGGCATTCACTAGACTTTAAACTTCTCCTTGATCCCAAGTTTAACAATGATTTCTTCATGTGTTTGGATGCTCAAAACAATCCACGAACCATCGCCACTTGCAGATCGGTAATGAGGATAGTCCACGAAAATGCGGACGATCCTTATTTTTTAGGACACGATTTGTCTGCGTTTACGAAGATATTCTTGTTCATGAAGACGATCCTTGTTCTTGGACCAGCGCCCCTACTGATTACAGATTAGTCATATTAAGACTAGGTCTAGATAGATCTACGTAGATCTAGATCAGGACCAGGCAAGTTAGAATTTGATCAAGATCCGACTCTTTTTTCATAATTATTCCAGAACACACACAGACACAAACTTAAAAAAGCAAAACATTAAACAAATGTAAACCACGTATCATTGACATTGTCGATGTCATTGAGCTGATTGAGACTACATGAGACTTCCATCATCCATATCCATGCATGATTCTAATTCTACGACACGTGGAACAGAAGTTTAGCACACCCATATTTACACAACTGCTTAGCCGACCGACCAGGCAGAGGAATCAAGTCGTAACCGCTGCCGCTGAACAGCCGAGCCGTGATTTCATGAACTTTAACATTCAGGTTATTTTACCTGTTGCAAGACATCTTGTAACAGAAGGAGCTACTAGAGAGTTTCTGGCGCTGGATACCAGGAAAGCCCGGCTTGCAGAGGTGAAAACTTGACGAAGAGCAGACATGATTTCGTATCGTCGACTCAGCTCAGCTTAGTGTAGATGTCGGGGATGCACTTTTCAAGGGTCAAATAGGACCGTCAAATAGCAAGTGCGGTACTTGTGCAGTACAGTGGGAGGACCCCGGAAGTGCAACCTCTCATTCGCGCAAGTACGGGATAGTTCGGATATCTTTTCCGATGATAGATGAACAGTGATTTTCTCATTCCCGAGTGATACATACAAAGATAACAGTCATAAACAATTTGACATGGTAACATAGTATAAATATAACATAATCATAAACATAGAAAAAAAGAATATTTATGTATTACAGTGTAATTGAAAGTTGGTTGGCATGCACTAAAAACATACCAACAACAACAACAAAAGACAGGGGAAAAAAAGGGGGAAAAAAATCATTTAAGTATCCATAAGTCCTAGTACATTTTCAATTATAATTTCCTCGTTTTATTCACTCTTTACTGTCCCGTTATATCCTTTTTCAGTCTGTAAACAACTTTGCAACATGAAAACAATAATGAACAGGGTTGTACTTCTCCTATAAATTTAATAAAAACGCCCTAATCTTGCACGAGGTGATACAAAGGCTCTTTCAGTCTATTGAAAGCATCTCGCCTGTATACCCGAGCACAATCATAATAGTTCTCAACAATAAAGACCCACAGTCTTGGGTAAAGAGGTCCATTATTTGTTTGTTTATTTAGTTGTATGTTTTAATTGACAGTGTATTATTAGATATCAGGTGTATTGGATGCTCTGATTCAAATACAGTCAAGACTGCCGAGCATTGACTTATCTCCTGCTTCTTGTCCTAAAACCATATCTTACTGGTTTTTAAAACAGTATTATTTGAATTTTCATTTTCCAGCATTATTTTGAACTCTTCCGAAATTGTTTTCCTTTCTTGAAATGAGACTACTAACATCCCCAGGCTATTCTTTTCCTATGGGGATATCGAAATTACTTGGTAGCGTATGAAGGCGCTAGACTGGATGGACATGAATAAACATGATTATATGACATACCTTTGCAATAAGCGCCCTTTTTAATCTCTAGTAAGTGCCCCTATATAGTTAGGTACGAGACGTTTCTCTTTTCACTTTTTATAAGTGCCCCCTTCACCTCTGATAATTGTCCTATTTAAATCTGAGAGGTACGTGCCCCTTTTCCTTTGTTAGAAGTGCCCTTTCCCCTTCTAATATCTACCCCATTTTAACTCAGACAAGCGCACCTTATACTTTCACAGTTTCCCTTTTACCTAATGATAAGTGCCCAATTAAAAAAAAAAAACCTTCTCTGGTAAATGACCCTGTTTAGGAATGAGAAGTTACTCCTTTTTACTTCAGATAAGTGCCCCCTTCACCTCCGATAAATGCCCCTTTAAATTTGAAGGGTGCCCATTTTCTTTTAACTAATGCACATTTTCCTTTATTACAAGTGCCCCATTTTCATTCACATAAGTGCCCCTTTTCATATCTGGTCATTGCCTCTTTTTGGGTGCGATAAGTGCCTCTTTTCACCTCTGATAATTTCCCTTTTAACAATATATGATAATATCTTATAAATTCCCCAATCAAAATCTGACGGGGGCCCCTTTACAGTCGACAAATGCTCATTTCCTATTCTCGTGACTGACTTTTTTCATCCCTGGTGAGTGCCTCTTTTTGAGGGTGTAAGAAGTGCCCAATTTGCACATCATCTGTATAGATGATTTATTTACGTTACTTATCAAAGGTCTTTTCAGTCTTCCGTTATGAGAATGTGCTTATAACCCCATTATGATTGGGATTTTTTCCTCTTTATAAGATGTAATTTTTTTTGCACTGCGACCACACACATCTTAACATTTTTCCTCGCTCGCAAACAATTTTTTAGACAATCAAACCCAACTGCAAAGCATGATGCTCAAAGCAATACCCTGTATGGTGTATAAAGTGAAACAAATATTAACATCATTCCTGATACTGTAATCACAATGTAGGGGTATATACCAATGTTTAAACAATTGTTTATTTTCGCTTTGAGATTTCCCTCTGTGGGTGCCCTTTTTTCAGAAAGTGCCCTTTTTTCATGGTACCCCCCTCCCCCACTTTGGAAGTCGCTTGGCCGCCCCTGTAAGTAATGCTTGTATTCCTTAATTTGATTAAACGAAGTCGTTTTCACTAGCTGTCTGCTGTAGCAACAAACAGAGTTAATAACATTTTTAACTCCGTTTCGTTGACGATCAGCCATGCATGAAGTCTTCCGTCTTTTGTATGCATGACTGATCGTCAACGAAACGGAGTTAAGTCTTTTCTGGGTTCCCCTTTATCTCCTATTTTCCCTTTTTTCTGTTTCCTTCCTTCTCTCTTATTTTGTTGATGGGGGAGGGGGGGCAACAGCCTGGGAGACAAGGCCTTTTCAGCTCCCCGATCTCCTTCTTTCACTCCCTTTTCTTTTCTTCTTCCTCTTCTTTTTTCCTTTCTCTCCTCTTTTCCTTCCCCCTTTCCCCCCTCTCTCTCTTTCTTTTGTTTGCGGGGAGATGGGGGAGGGGGGCCGCTCGGCCCCCTGGATCCGCGCCTGTTACCGGGTATGAATTATGAAGGGGATCAATTAAATGGCACATTAGACACTTCAAATTCACTACAGGATCATGGGGCTTTTCTCCATTGCATAATGATCCCAAAACTTCATCATAAAAACGCTGTTTGGGCTGGTTTGTATGCCATAATGATTATTTGTTTGAATTGAAGGTAACTCTACTTTAGGCCTATAAAAAGAAAAATATTCAAGATTAACTGTTAGAATAATAATAATTATGTTAATATTAATAACAATAGTTATAATAGTAATAATAACAAAAATAATAATAATAATAATAATAATAATGATAATAATAAGAAGAAGAATAAATAAAAGAGGCGTTGTAAACTATTACTTTTTAAATTAAGACTGATATTTATGATTCTTACAAATATTGTCATACCATATTGTAAGTTACAATATGGTATGACAATATTAGGTCTTTTTTCAATTTACAAGAGCCCTTGTTTCATGCCAAATACCGATCGACCCACTCCCTTATGATCAGGGGCGGTCGAGCGACTTCCAAAGTGGGGGGGGCACCAACAAAAAAGGGCACTTTCTGAAGAAAAAAGGGCACCTACAGTGGGAAATCTCAAAGCGAAAATATACAATTTTTTAGACATTGGTACATACCCCTGCATTGTGATTACATTATCAGGGATGATTTCAATATTTGTTTCTCTTCATACATCATACAAGATATCGCTTAAGCATCATACTTTACAGTTGGGTGGGATGTCTGAATATGCATTTACGAGCGAGCGAAGCGAGCGAGAAAAATTTTAAAGATCTGCGAGGTCGCAGTGCGAAAAATTACATCTTATAAAGAGGAAAAAAGCCAATCGTGATGGGGTTATAAGCACATTCTCTTAACGGAAGACTGAAAAGACCTTTGATAACTAACATAATTATATCATCTTTAAATGCGAGCGAGCGCAGCGAGCGAACTTTGGGGGAAATTGCTCTTAGTCGCTTTAAATAAGGGGCATGTTTAATGATTTCATGAAAAGGGGACAATTATCGAAAGGGATAAGACACTTATTAGAAAAGAAAAGGAGCACGTGTCAAAGTACAAATGATAATTATAAGAGGTGAACATGAGGCATTTTTTTCACCTGAAAAGAGGCACTCACCTGATGAAAAAGAGGCGTTTACGAAAATGGGAAATAGGCATTTGTTGACGGAAAAAGGGCACCCATCAGATTTTGATAGGGGCATTTATAAGAGGTGAAAAGGGGACAGGTCCCTTATTAGAAAGGAAAAGGGGCACGTATCATTATTAAAAAGGGAATTATCAGAGGTGAAAAGAGGCACTGACCAGATATGAAAAGGGGCACTTATGAAAATGTAAAAGGGGCACTTATAATAAAGGAAAATGTGCATTTGTTGAATGAAAAGGGGGCACCGTTCAAATTTTAAAAAAGGGCCGTTATGAGAAGGGGAGGGAGCTTTTTCTTTTTAATGGGGGCACTTATCATAAGGAAAAGGGGCACTTATTAGAAAGGGAAAGCGGTAGTTATGAGAAGGGGAAGGAGCTCTCTCTTTTTAATGGGGCACTTATCATAAGGAAAAGGGGCACTTATTAGAAGAAAAAAAGGGGCACATGTTAAAATTAAAGGTGTGCTCATCCGAGTTTAAAAAAGGGGTAGTTATTAAAAGGAGAAGGGGCACTTCTTACAAAGGAAAAAAGGGGCAGTTGTCAAAGTAAAAAGAGCACCTCTCAGTTTTGAATAGGGCAATTATCAGAGGTGAAGGGGGCACTTATCAAAAGTGAAAAGGGGCACTTCTCGTACCTGAAAAGAGGCACTTACTAGAGATTAAAAAGGGCACTTATTAAAGATAATTTCAAGATTTATGAGAATGGAAAATGGACACTTATTGCAAAGGAAAATGGGAACATGTCGAAGGAAAAGGGGCACGTGTCAAAAATAAAAAGGGCACTCGTCAGAGGTGAAAAGGGGGAAGGGGCACTTTTATTTAGTAATAGGGGCACTTGTCAAAGTAAAAGGGGCACTTTTCCTATGTAAAAGGGGCACTTCTTACAAAATAAAAGGGGCACTTTTCCTATGTAAAAAGGGGCACTTTTGGGGTATCTGAAAAAGTGGGGGGTCACTGTGCCCCCCCCCCCTGCCCCCCCGGGAGAACCGCCTCTGCTTATGATGATAACCAGTGGGGATCGAGAGGGTCAGTGTGGTTCCCGATAAAGTTCTGTGTAAAAAAAATGTAGGGGAATACTCGGCTGAGAGTGAGAAAGAGAGAGAGAGAGAGAGAGAGAGAGAGAGAGAGAGGAGGGGGCGTTTCATCGAAACTCCAGGGTCAGGGGGCGTGGTCGTTCATGATTTATTGAGCTCAGCACTGACAGTTGCTATGATGGTAAACCGTCCTCTCCGTTTGGACTGTGGTTTCTTTGTATCTGATTTCGTGTCTTTTGACCATAGGTTTTCATGATATTCTCCCGAAAATAATGCTTCCAGAGAAAGATGTTGCCAAATAATAAATAAGCCTGTCGGAACTTTTTCCCCCTCATTTTTCTTCATAAATTTATATCCGACCTATCTTTCACCTTTGCCGGATGTCCAACATTGCAATAGCGAGTGCACGGTACGCGGTGTGTACTTAGTAGCGCTTGCTATCTAGTGGTCTAGATCTATTGAAAGTTAAAATCTAATTTAGATGATTCACACTCATTGTCTTAGACTTTCTTCGACGGAGATAGACCTTTACATTCCTATTTATCCATGAGAGTTCTGTGAACATTTGGAACAGTCAGCACAATCAGGTGAGAAATTAAGACGGCATCAGAGTCGACCATGAATCTGGGCGAAAGAAAAGGCGAAACTTCGTACGACAACAGTCTCCTCTACGCGGGATTCAACCAAGATAATGGTGAGTGTAGTAGCCGCAGCCGCCCCGATAGGATTCACGTCTGTTCGACCTTTGGCAGCTAACGTGAGATAGCTATAGGTAATGAAGCTCTGCTTCTGAATCAGATGAAAATTACCCAGATAAAGTCCTAAGATTTAAGACTGACACTAATTCAAAAAGGGAAGGGCAGGTATCATGATCACGTTACTTAGTCAGTGTTCTTTACTGAGTCTGAGTACGGGCGCAGGGCATCATTTTAACAAAATGGTGATAACATTAACAAAATACCTACCAGTAATAATTGTATGTTTTATTTCTAAATTATCAGTGATTACAGATCTATGATTATGAAAGTGCAGAGCTACCAAGTATCACGTAGTAGACATGACATCATGCATTTCGAGGGTCTGAAAATGCTCTTGCGCACGACGCTTGATTTTGAAAAAACGCTATAGGGTCTAGACCTTATAGTACGTGTGTTATACCCGTGCCGAATAATGAAAATGTCACGCATTGCCGATCTTTGAACTTGGCGTCTCTGAAAGAGGGGTGAACAAAGTTTCTCTGAGATTTTTAACAATATAACTATAAGTTGATAAGGAAATGTGATGGTCTATTCAATGATTTTCGATCTGTGATTTCGTTTCTACTCAAATTTATTGCTGCAACTAGAAAATTAAGTTGTAGCTTAATTGCAAGGCAACCTCCCAAACAGTTTTGTCTTTACTGCCGCCGACTTTGTTTGAAGTTAAATTTTGAAATTAGAGAGAGTGTTATTTTGGTAAATCCTTTAACAAATGAAACCTACATGTAACAGTGTAAATTTGATTGCAATTCTTTGTTATGTATTGAAATCAAATATAAATTTATATGAATTACATTAATTGTGAACCGTACAGAATGCGCCTACTCGAAAGCAGTCAATGAATGTTACAAATACAATAGCAGTATCTAGGGACAAAGTACAGTGCACAATACATCATAAAATTAAAATAATAATTGTCAAATTGTGAGATGAATTAATTTGTTTTTTATTTTGCGAATGACCACTTGCGATTGCGCATAATCCTTGCTGAACTTTGTTTTCATTGTTTGAGTCATTGGAGTGTCCAGGTCGAGTGGTTTAAGGCACTTGACTGGAGATGCGAAGGTCGAGGGTTCAAATCCAAATCCGGCACAAATATCCTTTGGCAAGATATTAACCTGCACTTGCTACTCTCCACCCAGGTGTTAAATGGGTACCCGGTAGGATGCGACCGTCATAGTTGGTCCAACAGTTTTTGAGCGTCAAATAACGCCTGGCGAGTGGAGCTTGTGCGGGCAAGCACTGAATCCAATGACCGGGGTTATAGTATATCTGTAAAGCGCTTTAATAGAGACATTGTATTAAGCGCTATATAAGCAGAATATTATGATTATTATTATTATATTAAGAGATTTTAAGAATCATTAAGTGTCAAAATCTTGAACTTTGAGACTCTAGCTGTCCTCCATTTGTGAGAGTTATTTGATAGTGTTTTTTTTATAAATTTCATACAGGATGTTTTGCATGTGGAATGGAGTCTGGTTTTAGAGTCTACAACTGTGACCCTCTGAAAGAGAAAGAGAGACAAGGTAAGCAATCGTTTAGTTTCATTAGTTTTGCAAATTGCTAAGTGACCTGTAAGGGTTATACCTACAGCGTGTAACAATCTTTACAGGTATATTATAGAGTGGAGACTGCTTTGGGCAGGAGATTTCTATATCTTTTTCCTGAATATGAATAAATCCATATTTCCCACCAAGGGAAACCAAAATGGTCCACTAAGAAAAAAAAGGACAACTGCTGACTGTTCAAGTTGTTTGTTAAATGATGAGATATGAGTTGGTCTAGCGTTAATGTGGGTTGTCATCTCTATTTCTTTGCCTACAAAATAATTCTGATCGGACACAGGTTTGAAACTGAGTCGCATCTTTTGGATGGTGACGTTAAAGGTAGGTCCCTAAACGTAAACGTAAATAAGTCTGATTAAGTTATGATATCAGATATTAAGAATTATTGAATTAAGATAATTGTAGAAAGTATTCAAGTCGTAATTGAAATAGCTAGAGGTGTATAAAGGACAGAGCGGTTCTATTAGAAAATAATGTTGCTTGAGAAATAGTTGTAGGAGTGTTGTAGTTCTCCATTTCAAGTTTTCAAGTTCAATTTAATAAATTCCCATAAAAGCATACACATACAAGTCATTCCTTTACAATCTGATAAACAGGAGAACAGAGCAGATGCTGATAATCAAGGATACCATAAATGACCAAGGCAATCAAGGTAGTCCAATAATGTGACATCAATTCAACTATGCTTATTTACATGTATGTGTGAATTATTAAACAAGTCAGGATACATGATTATTGTGTATGACTGGGCGCTACATTTATTTAAGAACTAAGATTTCACTTTCAAATAAAATGTTTTCATCTTGTTTTCTTTACGCAGATTTTACCGATGGTGGAGTTGGGCATGTCGAGATGCTGTTTAGATGCAACTACCTTGCATTGGTAGGGGGTGGCAAGAACCCACACTACCCTCCTAATAAAGGTACAATTAAACTTTCAATCTACATACCGGTAACACAAAAAGTAGGCTGAAGATGGAATTTGGGTTGGGGGATGTAGATGTAATCTGGGCCGTATGGTGGCTTACGAGGTGTTGTTATTGATGTTGATTTAAATTCCTATCACTTTAGTAGAGAAATGCAGTGTCGCGATCACTATGAATCACTCACGGCGGGACTGTGGATCGCTTCTTATCTTGTTGGGTATAACAACAGAACTTTTGTTCCTCCAATAGTAGTGACATTGACGTTTGTTATGCACAGCTACACGTCTCGATTCAGGAAAATTCTGTCATGCCACAAAGCTAGTGAACGGTATGTTCACAGAAGATTTAATGTTTTAATCATCTATTCACTTTGGGGAAGGAAAGAACTCACACCATAAAGAGGGTCGAAGGTTGTGATTCTTCCACAAGATAATATGCAAATGATATGTGACTACAGTGTTTGTGAGTCATTTCTCATATTTTTGCCAATGCCTTGTGATGGGTATTGAATGAAATTAAGCACTGATTAAGGACAAGCATACCTGCAAAAGTTCTATTGCGATTTAGTCAGAATATTCTGATTTTTTTTTTGTTAGCCGTGAATTGAGAGTTTGCGTACTGTGTACGTTGAATAGCTGCAAGATTGAGCTGCTTTCTTGTACAGATTTAACCCTTTACTGCCAGCTACACTGCCGCTGTATACATGGCCATGGTAAGGCTGTGCGATTGCCTGTTCAATACACACATACATGTACATGTATGCCTGTACCCCTGCAGGAGCAATGCCCCTTGACCCCCAAGGGCTGCACCCCCAGTCCCCCGCTAAGGGTACAGATTTCTTATTCTCAAATGTTGGCAGGTACCGGTATGGACAATTAAGCCATCAATTAAAGTCTACTTTAGATGAGATGGTCTAAACGCACCTCATTTGACTATTAATTCTACACAAAAATTTCATTTTTCTCTGTGAAAGTTTTAAAGGTAACATTTAATCTAGTGCAGGCTTTGACACAAATGGGGGCCTGGTAAACAAAGGCCCCAAGACTTCCACTCCATATCCCGTCATCATCTGATTAATAAAGGGGGTGAAGCATGACGAGACTACGTGTCTTTCCCGTGGCCTGATTCGGGGCCAATCAGGTATAATACGACTACGGACGACGCGACTTCAGCATTCACACGCGTGCAACATACGTAAATCCGAAGCGTGATGAGAACTTTGGTTTGTTTCGTGAATGCTAGCGCGCACTGACCGCTAATCAAGTCCATTTGTTTACATGCAGTTGTCAAAAAGAATTAGTAGATGGCTTTAACCAGTATTTACCATGCTACACCCCCTTTAATAGTGATCTTATGGTCTAGAACCCCTGGTAAACAAGTAAGTGGCATGACAAACTGCATCCATAATGGGTTGGGATTGGCTGTACATGTAGATGAACATAAGGGTTATTCCAACCTTGCTGAATGTTTCAGTATTTTTTATGTCAAATCTATAATTGTTCTTTCAATTAATTTCTTTGACTACAGCTATGATCTGGGATGATCTGAAGAAGAAACATGTGATTGAGCTGGAGTTCTCCAGCGAAGTCAAGAGTGTACGATTAAGAAGAGACAGGTAAACTGTTAATGCCTCCCCCCCCCCCCTAAACCCATTGACCTCTGGTACCAGGTAATCCCTGTATTAAAGCCTGTGGAAATTAGAGGATGCAGTGGTCAGTGGGTTCAAGGGAACTAAACCTCAAGAAAAATTATTTATTTATTTTTTACAAGACATATTATGTGACATTCCAATTGCTTAAAAGAATTTAACAGTATGCACTGTAAAAAGTTTCATATTAAGGCTTGCCTGAAATTGATGGATAGTTAAAGAGAACATTGAAGAGAAGGTTAGTTTCTGGGAAGAGGTGAAAAATATTTTGTGAGCGTTATCATTGTTAGCACCGGTATACAAGTGTGGAAGAATATTAGATAACAAATGTTCCCTGAAAATATGGCTCTTAAAATGCCTTAATATTCTGAATATTGCATGTAACAGCATAAAAATTGGGACAGATTTTTATGCCAGATGTTCGTGTAGTATATTACCAAGACTGGGCCAAATGTCTTATGATTTTGATGATTCCAGAACCTTGCAATACACACCAATACTTGTCAGCTAGATGATCAACCTTTTCTGATCGATTCCACACCATTTCTTTCACAATGCAATCACATGACCAGAATTCAACTTTATCTTTATTAAAGTTGTGGTAAAGATTTTATTTTTGTGAGAGTTTGTCATTCTTTGTACGTATGTCACTTTGGAAGAATATAGTTTCCCCATAGAAGCATTGCTTATTAATGCCATCATACTCAAAGTGTAACATTTGAAATGCAACAAGAACTAGCTGAAAAGTTTGGACCAAACTTTCATGCCACATGTAAGTGTAGTCCCAGATGTCCATTTCTATGAGCAGTATATTCAGATTTAGATTAATTTTATTGGTGCATTTGGAAATTCAGTTGTTGGCATTACATAAAGCACATGAACAATATACATAAGAAAATAATATACATAATACACAGTAGCAAATGTACAATGACATATTCATATGGACACACGGATACAAACAATATCATTATATGAGCTTCTGCAAGATCGAGTCATTGTCTTTTCGTTTTGATCAAAACCAAAACCAAAACCTCACAGTAAAAATGACAGTCAATTGTTGTGTATACTATACAATATAATCAGATGACCAGTACTAGTGTTTCAGGCATTTCATTGTTTTGTAAAGAGGACCAAACATACTAGTTATCTTAAAATGGAGCCAATTTTTTTTTCTTCTGGGTAGCCCAGCCCATAGCAGGGATACCTTTCAGTATACAATTATGACTGACACTCTCAAGGGGAATTTACAAACAACTTGACCTTTACACAGTGTGGCAAAGATTATATCTCCATAAATACAATTACCTCTTATACTTTGATAGCGAGCGATCCTGACATATATGCAAGTGTCACTTTTGCGCTTCACATGTATTTGCGGTTTAGTGCTGTTAAATGAAGATGCTAATGTAAATATTGATATACTAGCATTAAAGCACAAAGGTTTCATTTCTAGAGTATCTTGTGTCATTCTGAATAGGTTAAGATTTAAATATATTGTTTGGTTCACTTAAACAATGAGTCATTAAAAAAAAAAGTATCGGACAGTAGTGGTCTTACTTTTTAAGTGCATAGATTAAACTGCTATTTGCTTCTGGTTTTTATTGATACAACTGAAAATCAGTATACAATATGTTTTTAATTACAGGATAGAAAGGGTTTCACATTAAGTGTCTAGTGTTTTCCCGCTCAGAACTAGTAACAGCTCAATACGTTATGATACTAGCATTTGTCTGTTTTAATATCTTTATTTTTTATTGTTTATTTTTTTATTACAGGATAGTTGTGATCTTACAGTCTATGATCAAGGTCTACACATTCACCCAGAACCCTCAACAGCTCCATGTCTTCGACACCTGTATGAACCCTAAAGGTACAGTATGAGTCAATCATAGAGGTGTCGTGGTCGAGTGGATATGTCACCGGACTGTCGATCACAAGGTCCGTGGTTCGAGTCCCGCAACAGCACTAATGTCCTTTGGCAAGACATTGATCTACATTTGCCACACTCAACCCAGGTGATGTAAATGGGTACCTGGCAGGTATTAATTCCTTGAAATGCTGGAGCACTATAATGGCAGCTAGGCTAACGCCGGGGTAATAATAAATGCGCCTTAGAATAAAATTTCTAGATAGACAACGCTATAGAAATGCCTATTATTATTATTATTATTATTATTATTATTAAGTGCCAAGAACTTTACCACAATTACTAAAACCATGAGCAAAGCAGAGCCTAGCTCCGTCAGTCTCTGGCTGTGTCAGAAGCAGCTAAGGTACAAAGACCTTACAGTCAGCAGAGTCTCTCGATGCAGCCTCTATTGCTTACGACTGACACGGGTTTGTGCCTGCAAACTAGGTTTGAACCTAGATATATTGCTTCAAGGGTCAAGTGATATAGACCTCTAAACCACATTGTGACAGCTTAAAACTTGATGATCCTGTAGCATGCAGAGTCTTTGTATTGTTGTCAGGTTGTCACTGCCAGTTAATGAGGGAGAATTGTACAACACTTGCTCCTATGACAATTGCTCCTCATCAGTTTCCTACATCAACCCAATTCCTACCTTCAACCCTGGACCCATATTATACCTAACCCTAACCCTAAAGCTAACCAAAAAGTCTAAAACCCAACTGCAACCTTAACCCTATCCCTTTGACAAAATGAAGCATAGAGCAATTGTTGCAGGAGCAAATGTCAGGTCTCTATTCAGGGCTCCACACTAACATGTACATTTTTCACAGAGCAAAGTCCAAAGTCGAATGGAAAAGTATGCAAACAAATTGTGAAAATACACATGTAAAATAAACATCTGATACATATCATGAAAGGTATTATTATCCAACATTTTTGTTAAAGTCTTCTATTATGCATGAAAGTGTTCTTGAATTTTAAAAGAAAATAGTCTATCAATAGGATTATCATTTATTCAGTGTGTGAGGATTGCCCTCTTTTTAGTAGACATCGATTTGCAAACATGCACATATGTGAGCCACGAAAATTAATTTTTTTTTATTTTCGTATATCAAAAAAAAAAAATGGTCTTTATCAATCCCTTTCAAATTCAGATTCTTTACCAAACTATGTTTCTCTGCTTTTTTTTCCAGGTCTCTGTGTTCTGTGTCCAAACAGCAACAACTCATTGCTTGCCTTTCCAGCTACAAAAACTGGCCACGTACAGATTGTTGATCTTGCTCAGACAGACAAACCTCCTCTCGATATAACAGCACACGAGGGCACCCTAAGCTGTCTGACGTTCAACCACCAAGGATCAAGATTAGCGACAGCATCGGATAGGGTAAGAGAAGCTACACCAGGGGGGTGTTTCACAAAGACTAAAATCAACTTTAAGTCAGACTTTTTTGTAGTGCTGTAACATCACGGATATCTCCAATTCCGTTTAACCGCCAGTCAAAACCGGACGGTTTTCGGTTAAACGATTTAAAAAAAAAAAAAAAAAAAAAATTTTACCGACTCTGTCGGCAACTTTCATTTAACTGCGAGGTGCATTTAAAGGGGCCGATTTGTGCTTGTGAACTTGTCACAAATAATTGTAACAATGTTGTTTTTAGAAGAAGGTGTAAGATCATTAATGTAAATTAAAAACAGTAGAGGACCTAGGACAGAACCTTGTGTAAAAGTTGGATGAATTATTATTATAAACTACATATTGAGATGATGAGATCTATTACAAAGATTACTTTCAAAACAAGATGACAGACAAATTGGAGTGTTGTTCTAGTTTTGGAGTGGTGAGTCAACACACAGATTACTGAGCTGGGAGACATTGCCAGGCATAGTGCCAGGTGGAGGGGCATAAATCGAAACTTTAAAAAAAAAAAAAAAAAAAAAAAAAAATATTAAAAAATTTTTTTTAAAAAAATCGGGAAAACGAAACCGTCCAATTGAAAACGGAATCCGCCATGGGCGGTCGGATACCGGACGGTTAAACGTTTGACTACAGCACTACTTTTTTGTTTGTTTTTCATAACTCAAGAAGAAAAGGCGGGCTGGTTGAATTAGGAACTTGGTCGAATGGAACAAATAATCTGAAAGATCTCTACAAAAATTGACCCTCTGCAGATGATACTGTCAAGTTCCGGTATATTATTTTTTATTACATTTGCATAAACAAGCGTGGACGAGAATGTGTAAGAAATGAACTCTGCCGCATATCGTACAAGGCCAACTGTAACATTGATAGAAATGATATTAGACCCTGAGATGTATGTGTATATATCATTTGAAATGTTTGTTTGAATGCTTTTGTTTTGAAAGGGCACATTGATCAGAGTCTTTGACACAAGTAATGGCCAGCAACTCCAAGAGTTGAGGAGGGGATCAGGAGGAGCTCAAATATACTGGTAAGAAATTAATCAGACCCTGAGAAGATTTGATCATAGTTTGTGGTTCGAGTCCAAGCCACGGCAATAACATCCCTTAGTGAGATATCAATCTTCATTGCCACTCTCCACCCAGAAGATAATGGGTACCTGTGAGGATTGCTGAAAGCCAATGTGACTGCTTTTTCCCATTCCCCTGCATGCATGTACATGTATGTATGCAGTGCACAATGGTAGGAATACTCCCCAAGGAGTGGAGATGGTGCACACTTGTGCGTCGGCTCGAAATCCAGCAATCAGGAGTTATGGTGATAACATTTTAAATCGCATTCAAGTATTCTCTTACGTGCTAGATAAATGTAATATATTTTTGATATTGTCAACTATTTACAGACTGTTATTGCACTTGTATTATTTGTTTCTCCATATATATACAGTATTAATTTCAACCAGGACTCGACCTTACTGTGTGTATCATGGAACCATTCATGAATATATATGAAATATATTTTTGGTATTTTTAATTATTTACCGACTATAGTTGTAATCTTAACACTTTTTGCTCCACATACAGTATTAATTTCAACCAGGACTCAACCCTACTGTGTGTATCAAGCGACCATGGAACCATTCATGTCTTTGCATTAGAGGCAGACGCACAGAAGAACAAGAAATCACAGTAAGCATACTATATTCATTACATACTGCTCATCAGGTTTCTGCATTTTGATTAGTCAAAAATGACTACATGAAATTCACTATTGACTGCTAGGCAGTGAAGCAAAAAATATTGACCAGGCGTAGCTCTATTTGCGCGCACAATGCAAGGATGCAATTGATGCTCATGAAGTTAGCAATGGGTACGTGTACACTCTAAATATGTAAATTTCCCTACTGTCTACTGAGAAATACATTATGAAAAGCATATTTTGTCGAAATATACCTTTTAGTAAATCCACACCTAGAATGCACGATATGTATAAACGTATTTTGATTGCTTATTTTTGCGGGTCAAGATTTAAACTATAGCTCCACAATAATCAGAAAACTTAACTCTTGGGGCAGAAAGCGGTAAAAGGGGGAAAATTGGAAGTCAGAACTAAAATCAGTTGCGTAGCTAGACCCTGGGTAATATTGGACGTCTGTAATAAGCACCATGTGCGATGGATTTGTGTGCTATAAAAATATCCAATATTATTATTCTTTATTACTATCAGTATTAGTATTTTCTTATTATTGTCATTATTTTTATTATTAATAGTAGCAGCAGTAGTAGTAATGTTATTGTTATTATTGTACTGTTATTCCTTGCAGATTAGCATCAGCCAGTTTTCTGCCAAAGTACTTCAACTCCTCCTGGAGTTTCTGTAAATTCCAGGTCCCAAATCACGCCCAGTGCATCTGTGCCTTCGGTTCCGATCCAAACTCGGTTGTAGGTTAGTATATATTTTGGTTTATACAGCGCGAGTCAATGAAATGAAACCTCTATTCAACCTCCATGTCTTGTAGCTACTTGCGCCCTCTACACAGCAAACAATGCCTAAGCGATTCTTTGATCCCCATGATCCCCTTTTTCTTATGTTAATTGAGAGCTGATTTGATGAGATAACCACCTGTCAGTGACCTTGCAGGGAGGTCTAATGATCCCTCCTGGTCAAATTAGTGCAGACAGGCTTTAACACAAAGTAAAATTGCTGAAATATATTGTAATGGTAGTTTGCTCTACAAAATGACTGAGCACCGGTCATTTCCAAAAAGAATACCCAAATCACCTTTGCCCAAGTTTGAGATGAATGGTGTTCAGCGCCCCCTTTCACAAAACTTGTCATCAGTGAAAAATGAGTTCTTGTAATACGCTAGTGAAATCCTTGCTTCTGATTGGTTATCAGCAGATTTGTCACTGATTTTTGTCATATGTCATTGAAAGAAGGCTTTGTGAAATGGGTCCCAGGAATTGCTTTTTATGATGTTTGAGTGCATGCATTTAGAATCAAGACTATACAATCAAACCTTGCACTGACTACCAATTTTTTTCAAAATTTTGGCAAATTTGACATGAATCAGAAAAATTGCTATTCAGCTCCACGGTTTAATTTTATCGATCGAGGTGTCAATTTAACGAAAACATCATAATCTACATTGCGAGTGTCTTTGACTAAATATTTATGTGCTGATTGTAATGATATTGATGGTTGAATCTGGATTTCTTTCCTTGTGACTCTCACTATATAATGGTATTACAAGTCCTTTATTTGTGGCAGACATTCAGCTATTGATACAATCACTTCATGAATCGTCATCTCTTGTATCAATTTTAAGTTGAAGTCACAATTTGCGATCAGTCACTCACTACTTACAATATATCATGCACAAAGCTACATTTGTCATGAAACTCTTTATGAAGTGGAATAGGAATTGAACACAAATTTATGTTTAATTTTTAAAGGCCCCAGATTCTGTAAATAAAATTCAAGGAATTTAAGATGTCCCTCACAAAGGCAGAATTCAAATTTGAGTATTATCTATGAAGAGTCACTAAATACACATTAGGTAAGCTCTTTGACTCAACTCTATTATCTCTTTCTCTCCCTGTCTCTCATCCTTATCTCTCCCCCATCTTATCCTCTTCCCCCCCCCCCCTCTCTCTCTCCCCCTCTCTCTCTCTCTTTCTCTCCGTCATAGCTATCTGTGCCGATGGTAGCTACTTCAAGTTTGTGTTCAACAGTAAGGGAGAATGCAGCAGAGATGTCTACACAAGATTCCTTGAGATGACCGATGACCATAGCTGAGACCCTTCTGTTTCCTGTTGACCGGTCTTGATGGTCAGTCACATGTCCAGTCTTGGTGTGTCGTTCCATGTATGATAAACATTGAAGTTGATAATCAGTGCATCGGGAAGAATATCTCACAGGGTGAATGTCACCAAATTGAATATTCTTTCCACTGCAGGAGGGATTAACACTCCATATGTTTTACAGGATATTTTATACATCCATCCATTGTCTCACAAATTTAAGCATCTTACTTTAATGGAATATAATGTGAGATGGAAATATTACCGTACTTTGCCCCTGAAATTTGTTCCCACTTAAGAATTATACTTGCTTCCAGATTATTGTCCATTAGGATCAATTATTCCATTTGTCGCTTAGCTCATCCTTAAAGGATGAGTGCAGATTAGGGGTGTGATTTCATCTTCAAGGGGGGGGGGGAGACAAGTAACAAATAATCCTATACAAATATTGCATAAAGTTATCCAGACAAAGAAACACATGGTGTGCCTAAATAAACATGAAATATGGTTTACTGCCTATACATTTTTTTAAAGAGCATACTAATTTGATTTGCCAGATGCTCGAATGGGTTGCCAGAAATGCTCTCATGGCTTGTAAAATTTGCATTTTGCAGACTCCTGTTATTTTCTTGAATGAGACTCGCCTTACCAATGCCTCTTGCATTATATCGTTGATGGGTTTGTGTAATAGGGTCTTGGTAATTAGAAGAAAGGAAAAAAAAAATTACAAAATCAGCAGCTTCATTTTGTGTGAACAAGAGGGTTTGCTGCCAATGTGATAGGAAAAGTTGTCTCTCGATAAAGAGAATTTTAATGAAAAATGAATATTCTGGTATTTTTGGTTACTTGATGGTAATAGGGGTGAAGGGTTGTTCGGATATTGAGGTGTATGTGAAAGAACCAATGCAGGTTTTCAAAGAGCGTTTCATAATCTGGAACCATCCATATGTATACAGATGACTGTGAAGACTTCTGGACAGTCACTGAACAGATTCTTGCAATTCCAAGATATCAGGGCCCGTTTCATAAAACTTGCGTCAGTGAGAAATGACCGTTGTTTGTTATAAGCCAGTGAAATCCTTGCTTCTGATTGGTTATCAGCAGACTTGTCAGTGATTTTTGTCATGTGTCATTGAAGAAAGGCTTTGTGAAAAGGGTTCCTGAACTACCCCAAATTCCATGATATAAGAAATATCCAAGTACGATAAACAAGGAAATAATATGAATCTTTATTGTGTTGTGGTACAAAGAAATTATTTGAAAGGAAAATAATATGAGTTATATGTATGATACGGTATTTCCTACTTAATTATTCATATTCCTTCATAATAAATTTTTCAAAATTTGCTGTACATATAAGTAATTTTCTTTTATATTTTTATATCGATGCCATTTAGAAGACCACAATGTTCTTGGTTGACTAATCTCTCAGCCAAAGTGTCCTCTGTATTTTTTGTTTGTTCATTGTTTGTTTTTTATTGTTTTTTTTTTACTTGAGGGGAAAAAATGTTTTTTATGAAAACAACAGTATTGATTTTTGACATTATTATAATTCATTTGGTTATTTCTACTTTTTATTTTGTGTGATTGAGGGTTAAATACTTGGTTCGTGATAATGGAGTTTAAAATGGACGGTTGCATAAGAGTACCCTTTCATGCATGTATTTTGCCTTTGGCTTCTTGTTCAATATTTGTTCCATAAAAAACTAGTAAAAGATGAATATCACCCCATTTCCTTCCAAATATCAACTACGATGAGTTTGAATTATAATTTGAGTCACATTCACAATTTAACTTGTGTCAGCGTATGTTTCATGGTCTCTTTTATATATCTCTTCCTTCCACTATAACAACCTAACATGTCATAGGTCATTCCATGGTTTTTTAAATTAAAAACAAATATTAATATCGTTTGTAGATGATGGCTTTATTGCGCTCTTAAAATGTGCCTTGATTTTTTTTTTTCATGTTCGATCTTCAACAAAGAGAGTTGTTTTCAGATTTGTTCATTTAATGGACAAACTTGTCAAAATAATTATTGTATGCTGGACTGCTGCATCATAAGTTACAATATGTTCAATTTAGGCACATAAATTACGGTTACTCTGGCAGAAAATTCAGAAAATTTTACTCTTTAAGATATTGATTCCTTTTGTTTTGCCAGTACGAACACACATGTCCCATTCATCTACCAGCACAGCTTCCCATTATACTTCAATTTAATTGTGAGAAATTCAATTATTGTAATATTTGCCATTGTGACTTCACTTTGGGAAGTATTTCATGTGCAGCGAGATGCATGCATTACTAATCAGTGTTTGTGGTTCTGGTACTTTGTGAGCATGGGCAGCAGTAGCGATTAAACATTCTCTCAAGTTGATATAACAGATATTTTAAAACTTTAATATGAACCAGCAAAATAACTGAGTGATGAGCTATGTGGCTCTGGAAAACCACCAAAAAGGCTGTGTTAAACGTAAAAAGAGCTCTGTATCACTGCAAGCAAATCCCACTCGTATAACACTAAATCCTAAAATCGTTTCTACAAACATTAAAGTCAATTTTACCCTGATATGAACACGTACAAGAAACTCTAAGCATGTTGCAGGAATCAACTTTACTGAAATAATTGCCAGTGTGACTGCAACTACTGAGGATTGCATTGTTACGACAATACCTAGATGCTGTTGTACCCATCCTCTTTCTCTTGGTAGTGCCCTTTATATTGTTGGTTTTGTTAGATAACTTGATTGAAGGCTTACAATTTCATGCATTGCCAGTATGTATTAATGTTTGTTTCAGTGTACATATTAGGGTATCAACAGAAAGAAGAAAAAATCTATGAAACAGTAAATATACGGTTGATATTCATAATACAGTTAGACCTGTCTTAAAGGCCACTTCTCTATAAAGACCACCTGTCTATAGTGGTCATCTATAAATAATGTCTCCCTCTAGGAAGAAATATGCATTGTAGAATCTCTCTAGAAGAACCACCTGTCTACAGTGGCCAGTTTGCTTGTTTCCCTTGGGTGGCCTTTATAGACAGGTTTGACTGTACTTCTAATATGACAGGGAATACCAGAATTACTTGATCAGTAGCAACCGCAATATGTGAATGATCATGGATGCTCTGGAAACGCCTAGATTGACTAAAAATGTTTGGAAAATTTAATCAAGACTTCCATGGGAAACTACTTTCAAAAGAGTAGATACACAGAAACAGATAAACAAATAAGTATGAATGGAATATTGTAAAATTAGAAAAAGTTTCATATATGTTGTTTCATCTGCCTATAATACCATCTAGAGGTGTCGTGGTCGTGGTGTGGATATGTCATCGGACTGTGCATCACAAGGTCCGCAGTTCAAGTCCCGCCACAGCACTAATGTCAATTGGCGAGACATTAATCTACATTTGCCACACTCAACCCAGGTGAGGCTAATGGGTACCTGGTAGGATTATTCCTTGAAATTCACTGTGCGCTGATAATGGCTGCTGGAGCTAAAGCTAGGGTAATAATTTCCAAAGCTCTTTTGAAGCGCATATAGAAGTTATATAATGTGACATGCGCTATACAAGAACGGAATATTATTATTGTAATCTGTTAGGGGCCAGAAGGGCATCAATTAGTATATTTTATTAACACAGAGTTAATGCCCCTCTAGGTCTGGGCAGCCACTGGTCAAGATGAGTTATGATTTTCATTTTTTTAAATAGAAAGTTCATTATACAATGCTTTATTTTAGAAGTATGCAATCGGTTGTTTGATCAATTTCTTGAATACTCCCAAATTGTGTTTTGTGTTTCTATGCTGTACGAGTAATCCTTTTCAAGATGAATCTTTACGGTGCCCAGCAAATATCGACATTGATATCTTAATAATTATGTGAATCAGTTTTCTTTTAAGTAATTTTCGTTAAAAACTGAAAGAAATTGCATTCATGGCAAATTTGTAGTTCATTAATAGATATTATATTTCATAACCAGACATTTATGTATCAGATTGTATTATCAATGCTACATTAATGTGGCAGATCTGTTAAGAGTACGCTATAATGGGCATGTACATGTATGTAGATAATAATTATATAGATTCAGTACTTAGATTATTATAAATTTACAAGGATATTTTCCAGCTATTTTCTCTTTCTTCCCCTGTCAATATATCATTTTGTCATGGTTTTATTTTTCGCTTATTCCTTAAAATAATCATATTATGTATTGTTCCATTCTTGCTGTATGAAAATTCACATTTTACCCCATTTCTTCCTTTTCATGAGAAGTCTCATTTATGCATTGTGCAGTATACTGCCTCATAGAAGCTGCAACAGCAAAGTAAGACAAATTTTATGTGTGAATAAATGACAAATGGGGGTGAAAAGAAAGTTAAGTAGCTAATCAACTCACTTACCTGTTCGTTGTAAGATACCGAAATATGAAGTTCGCACTGCCCAAGTAATTCTATTTTGATGTGGGGGTGTTTTAAGGTTGTATACAGTACGAGGCTTATAACTTTACATTTTATTCCGACTTTGCTTATACCACATTATTTCTTAATAACTTTGAAAACAATAACATTGAGCAGTATGAATTTAATAGTATGTACAATAAAACTTGTAATGAAATATGATTGTAAATATGATGCAAAGAAGAAAAAACAAACATTTCTAGCCTTATATGGTTCGCATGTTGTAATCCTTGAAGTTCTATTGTTGTGGAAACGGTTGTTTGTCTGAATGTTTGATGATGATGGTAGCAGTGAGTTGGTTATTATATCTATGATCATTTACTTGATTGTGATAGCATGGTCATAGTGGCAATGCTGTGGTGGTAGTCGTGATAGCGATGGTGATCATAATGATGGTGCTGATGATGGTGCTGATGATGGTGATGACAACAGGCTAATTAATATGTTTAGCCATGCTGAACATTTATATGCATGTAACAACGGCAATAGATGTTAATAACATAAACTAAATCAATAGATACAATAACAGTTCCATAGCAGGCATGTATTCATGGTGGTAATGGCCTTTTGTTTAGTTCGCCTCACAACCTACTCGCAAAATTACAAAGATTACAGAATGCTGCTGCTCGTGTCGTGACCCTGTCCAACAAGTACAGTCACATCACACCAGTCCTCAAATCACTCCATTGGTTGCCCGTAGAAAAACGTGTTGTTTTCAAGATTATTTTGCTATTATTTCACTGTATACATGGCTCTGCTCCGCAGTATAACATCGGCTTGATTAAGCATTACTTTCCTTCTAGACAGCTACGTTCTCAAAACTCTGGCTTACTTGTTACTCCTAGGGTTAAAACAAAGTGGGGGGAACGAACCTTCGCTCATGCTGGGCCTTCGTTATGGAATACTCTCCCTCAATGGGTTAAGAATAGCAGTTCTGCTGAGGTGTTAAAAAACAATCTTAAGAAATATCTGTTTAATTTAGCTTATAATTGATTACCATTACCTTTCATGTCTGTACCTTTCCTATCGCACTTTGTATAAATGTATCATGTATGTATTTCATCTTTTGCACAAGCTGCGCCTTGAGCATTTGACTGTCAAGTGGATTTGGCGCCTTATAAATCATATGTATTATTATTATTATTAATGCAAAATTTAGCTGCCAAACGAGAAGAACACATGGAGGTACCCCCCCCCCCCCCCTTTCGGTATTGCGTGTGATGAGAAAAAATGTTAGCTGCATATATGAATTATAAAGATTAAGGTGATAAGAGGCAGGAGGAGGAGGAGGAGGAGGAGGAGGAGGAGGAGGAGGAGGAGGAGGAGGATGGTGGTGGTAACGATGATGATGATAGAAGTGGTGGAAATGGTAGTAGTAGTGTTCAAACCTATCGTGATAGTGGTGACGATGCTGAAGGCGGTGGCAGTGATGATGATGACGATGAAGATTAGATTAAGATTGAGATAGTGATGAGGACAATGGGGAATCATACTGGAACTCAGGATGATGATGCTAGTGAACTGATGATGGTTGTAATAATGGTGACGTGATGGTTACAAAGATTGTAACAATGGTAGAGATGGCAGTACGAGCAGGAGAAAAAAAGGAACTAAATCTAATAACATAAAACTTCTACACAAGCCATCTAGGATAACATCTTTGTTCAAAGAGCAAATTTCTATTTTATGACGCTTGTCTCTGCCGCTCCCTTGCCTTTCAAGATGTCCTTTAGGGCCAAAGGATAATCATTCGCTTTCTCATCTCCCTCCTCTTTCTCATCAAAGTCTTCCTCCTTGGCATATCCTACCATCAGCATCATCACCTGGGCGTAGTTCTTTGGCCATCCCTTCCAAGACGATCTCGCAAGCACGGTCAAGTTTTCCTGTTGAAAAGAATTAGAACAGGCAAATTTTTGCTATTTGAATCTGAATGATATGGATGCATATTTGTTAGACAACGGACCATTATCTGTAGAGAAAAGACATAAATATTCCCATAATGATAGAGAAGTATCATATTTCTCTATCATTATGGGAATATTTAAGTCTTTTCTCTACAGATAATGCCGTTTTTCAATTTCTACTTTCCTTTCAGTTAGAGGTGTTGTGGTCGAGTGGATACGTCGCCGGACTGCCGATCACAAGGTCCGCGGTTCGAGTCCCGCCGCTGCACTAATGTCCTTTGGCAAGACATTGATCTACATTTGCCACACTCCACCCAGGTGAAGTAAATGGGTACCTGGTAGGAATTTATTCCTTGAAACGCAGCGCGCGTAACAGCTGCACTGCTAAAGCCAGGGTAATTATGCTGCATTATTGTAGAGCGCTTAGAGACTTCTGACAAAGTAAGTGTTAGGCGCTATATAAGCACTGTAATTATTTATTATTATATTATTTCATTTAACGATTTTGCGGTGTGATTTGCTATCCGGGCGGTTGATTTTAAGTAGAACTATAAACAGGTTTAGAAGGAACATATCATAACTTGAAATAAAAAACTAATACTGAATAATATCATAAATGACAAGTACATAATGATGGTAAGTGCTATTTGATGCATATTCTCATTCAAATCCCTAGCCAAGAGTGAGATCTTAATTTTTGTAAAGCGTCCGGACACACAACCGCCCCTCCCCCAATCCCACAGAAATTACGTACCTTCAAATTATGTGCCTCTACCAAGGCGACGTTCATCAAGGATCCCGCACATATCGTATAGAGGGTGTAGCAGCACCACCGGAGCAACACTGAGTCGTCGTACATCTTCAGGAGGTCGGCCAGGAGAGGTACAACCCCCATGGTTCGGAACAGTTCTCCGTGGTCGCGATGACCTCGGTAGATCTCGCTGAGGGATCGCACGATCTGTGTACGAACCGCCATGCTGGTCTCACGGTCGGAGACGTAGCCGAGCAGGACACCGAGGAAGGAGGCGGCGCACTTGGCGGCATCAGGGCCGCCTGAGGTAAAGAGAGAGAGAGAGAGAGAGATAGTGGAGCGAGGGAGAGATAAAGAGTGAGTAAGTAAGATAGTGTGGGAGAGAGAGAGAGAGAGAGAGAGATGTAGAGAGAGAGAATGAAGAAGAGGGAAGGGAGGAAGGAGAAAGAGGGAGAGTTATAATGAGTGAAAGAGAGAAGAGAGAGAGAGAGAGAGAGAGAGAGAGAGAGAGAGAGAGATGAAGGATTCGTGAAGAGATGTCACAATGAGAGAGAAGGGGCATTGGGATCATATTTGAATTATATCGATGGTGGTAATGGATATGAATGACAATTACGATAGTGATTGAAGACGAGAAAAACTTAAAAGTGTCTACAAAACTTTGGAATGAAAAGAAAAGGAACAGAAAAGAAAAACGTACACACGCAAAAACGAACTCTCTGTCTCTAGTCTGGAGGACATTTACCTACCTGCCCAAGCTAGATGTCCTATCCTCCGGATAGCATCAGCCATGACATCGGGGTCTGTTCCGACGCCAAGATCCTTGCTAGCTACAAGAATCTCTTTCTTGTATCGGTTGGTCTCATTCTCCCATTGGCTATCACCTCGCCCCTCTCCATGGGAAGCAAACGTGTTCCAGGTCTTCTCCACCCCCTGCGCCACGGCTCGACGGACCGATTTGAACATGATGAATCAAGGGAAATCAATCTCTTTGCAAATATGAAAACTGAGAAAATCGGGTATAAAATCATACTTGCATAGCACATAGAAATTAATTTGATAAGCGACGTTAGTAATGATGCAGCGCGCCTGATGTGTTATGCAGCGCGTATTGCGCGTGGTATATAATTCCGCGCACTGCCATTACCGGGGAAGCCCCTCCCAGCCCCTAGCTCAGCGCCCTTTCGTTAACGCCCTCCTGTCGGCACGAACATAATTAATTGCGAATTGCGTCGATCCATTAGGGTTTGTGAGGAGGGGGGGGGGGGGACACGGGATACAATACATTTAATCAGCCATCATTTTTTAAGGGTCCTGTTCATAAATCATATTCATAGCTGGATAATTTTAAGTTCCAAATGCTTATCAATGTTTATAATGTACGGACTGAAAAAAATACACTGTAGGGTTATTTTCACATGAATACCTTTTGTTTTCTTGTCAAAAGTATGTAGAGCGTGTACAAATTGCAGATCAAGAGACACACCGGCCCTCTGAACAATGAAACTACATATTTATTAGTCTTGCCCAAACAAACACATCAATGACTCACTGGTTTTTCCACGACCAATAGACATCATTTGAATAAGTTACTTGTTAAAAAAAAACTTATCTCCCATTCATCTTTTGTAAGTGAGTGGAGTTTGGCTTGCATTACGCGCCGCTCCACTGGGCATCGATTGTGAAAAGGAAGCCTTGTTCGTGAGCTCAGTGCGCGTAACAATGACGTCAGCGTAGGGTCTTCCCCAGGGCTCGGTTACCAGAATAACGAAATCCACGCCCACTCGTCATGGCTTCAAGCACTGAACCATCAACTGTAAAGATAACAGTAGAAGCAATGAGGAGTGGTGGGGAGGGCAGGGGGTAAAACGAGGAGTGGTGGGGAGGGCAGGGGGGTAAATCAATGGGAAGCAATAACATACATTGTATCCCGGCCCCCCCCCCCCCACTCAGTGTTATTTAGGGTACGCGTATGCTCGTTCCCACTTTTTGAAAGCACCCCCTATCTGAGGACTGCCAACATTTCCGAACCCCCCTTTCGCGGGTTTTCCGTGGGCTTTTCCTGCATTGGAGACCCCCTAAATACGGAAAAATGCTCAATGTACCCCCCCCCTAAATTCGGAATTATTTCTCAGGAGTCCATAGAAATGAGAGAAAAAAAAAGAAAAACACCCCCTTTTTAAAGAAATCTCCAGGTGAAAAGTCAAATACACCCCCTTTTTTTTTTTACAAATTCTCGGGCCGGACTTTGTCGCACGAAAAGTACCCCTTTACCGGACATTTTGGTAACACGCATGCGGTCATTCGGACCCCGGAGTAGGGGGGGGGGGCGGGCATTGTATAGACCAGCGTTTTTTCCACCGGGATGTGATAGTGCCGTGTCCGAATGACATTTTATGTCTTTTATATCGAAATTGCATTTCCGCTTCACTCGCTCGCAACATTTAGAAACGGAATAAATCCGGGCAACGAGATTCCCGAATATCCTCATAATATCTGGCGGTGGATTGCCCGCATACATTATACTTTAAATCTTAACCAGGGTGTTGATTACAACAATATTTTTAACTTAATATTAAAAGTGTCATTGCTCTCGAGCAAAAATTAGCAATAAATTAGTAAGTACATAGAATATAAATGAACAGAGCAGATCTATACAGTTTGGCTGAAACATTTTTACCTCATTATGGAAATGAGGCGAAGTTTGTAAGGAAAAGTATGAATCAATAATTTAAAAACAATTTATATGTATATATATTATCTCCCCCAATCCATCCCCAACAAGGATTTCTGTTTTTATTCATACAATCAAAATCATATCGAGGAACTATGATAACAATAATAGAATTGTTTATCAATTTGTCTGAACTTAAAGGTAAAGACCAGTTATGATCATGCGATTGCATTGTGAAAGAAACGTTGTGGAATCGATCATAAAAGGTTGATCATCTAGCATCTAGCATCTGCAAGGTTCTGGAATCATCAAAATGATAAGAAATTTGGCCCATTCTTCGTAAGTTACAAGCACTATACACAGAAAGATGTATATGGGACTACCCTATATCTCTCACAGACCATGAGAGAAACAAATTTACCAAATATATGAATTAGTAGGCGGTTTCCCGGCAAATTTTTTATCATCATGTATTAGTCAAAACATATTCTTTCACATGATTGGTAATGAGAGCTTCCATTTCATTTTTTGAAATTGGGGCGTTTCCAATACTGGTCTTTACCTTTAAGCACAAGTTATGTTGATGTCTAAATGTACCTCTACTACAAATATATTTGTTTAGAAACTATCAACCAAAGTACCAACATTTCCACCCCAACATACCAGTGAAAACTTAAATATTACCCTTTCCTCCCACGTGGGACCCTAACCCGCACTAGATCGGAAGAAAACACACGATTCTTATCCACAAACTGATGAAATAAATCCTCATGAAATATTCGTTTCCCGGGAAAGACTGACATAAAGTTTATATTTCAGTCTCATCTTTCGTCACACTGATTTTCAGACAATTGCCAAAATTGGGGTAAGAGGACATTTTTTTTTTTCTTTCTGGTCTCGAAATTTGAAAATTTGACATTTTGTTCCGTTGGGGGGGGGGGGGGGGGGGGGGGGGGGTAAGGTCACCTTTTTTAGGTCAGCCATTGGCATATATATATATTTTTTTAATATTATTTTTTATCACAAAAAAAACAAAAATTAAAGAAAAAATCAAAAGGGGGGGGGGGGTTTCACAAAAATCATACACAAAACATACACATAAAAAAAACTCAAGGGGGGATTTAACCCCAACCCCCCCCCCCCCCCTGCGTACGCGCCTGTAACCGACTGTGATAGACGTTGATAATAGAACCGTCTCGTCTTTCCCATTTTGAAACAAATAATGAACAAAAACATATCTTTAACATTTTGTTTATCAAGCCCCCGGCTAATAAAGAGTTGATATCAATCGCAACTTAATTGCTATTGACATAAATTGCATGTACATTAGAGATAGGAGACTGCAAACTTGCAATATTATCGATTGGAGGACTTGTGATTGATTTGGATCTATCGCAAAAAATTCGCAACTCTTTAAAATACGGGACCCCAAAGTGAAATCTGAGACTAATATTTCACTGCAAAACATTTTTCTCATATTATTTCCTTTTGCTGTGATATTTTATGCAATGAATGTAGAAATGATTTATGAGTGTGTCCTTGGACAAAAGTTGCTGGAAGGCGCCATATTGTCCGCCATATTCATACACTCTTCCCGGTTGTCATGGAAACGCTTGGCATTTAACCGCGATGTCGATTGTCGTAGCTATTATATTTTCTCCACCAATGTTTTAGACTGTTTTTGGATGAATACTTAATGTTTCAAACATGTTGATGATAGTGGTGATGATGATATTGATGATAATCATGATAATGGTGGTGATGATAGTGATGATGGTGGTGGTGGTGGTGGTGATCATGGTGATAGTGATGATGATAATGATGATGGCCGGGGTGGTGGTGACCATGGTGATGGTGGTGATAAAATGATGATGATGGTGGTGGTGGTGACCATGGTGATAGTGGTGATGATAATGATCATGGTGGTGGTGGTGGTGATCATGGTGATAGTGATGATGATAATGATGATGGCGGTGGGGGTGGTGACCATGGTGGTGGTGGTGATGATAATGATGATGATGCTGGTGGTGGTGATGATAATGATGATGATGGTGGTGGTGGTGATCATTGTGATAGTGATGATGATAATGATGATGGCGGGGGTGGTGGTGACCATGGTGATGGTGGTGATGATAATGATGATGGTGGTGGTGGTGGTGGTGATGATAATAATGGTGGTGGTGGTGGTGATGATTTTGGTAATGAGAATAGTGATGATGGAGATGAAGATAAAGATGATGACAATGGTGAGGTGGCGATGGGTCATTTTGGGAAACGCTCACATAGATATCGATCGTCGGTCTTATCTCTAAATTGTCGGCCTAGGATATTGGTCAAGCGATGGTGACCATATTTTTGCGACAGATGATAACGAAATTCATTTTTATGGCTATCTTGGCCAAAACTCTCAGTGGGATACACCGATGACAATTGACAAATCTTTGTCATTAAGAGTGTAACCCACAATATGCATGTCTCGTTTGTTTATAAGAGAAATTAATATCATGTCTACTGTCAAGGACTCGAGGTCATTTTGATGAATGCCTCTGTGGCTCGATTTTACAGACGCAAAAACTTATGATCATCCATCTTTGTAAGCACCAGTCCTAAATTTCCCACAATTTAACATTGAGTGATCTTAGTCCCATCCCATGTTTCTGGGTTGGGTGACGAGTACAAAATCTTTGGGGTCCTAAACATTTGACCTGTCTGTTTGCCCACGTCTTAAAATAGGAAGTTTGTCGTTCTATGGGGAATTTTGTAGATATTTTATTACATGTCAAGAATATTCTTACATCGTGAGGTAGTATGGGGTAGAGGTAGGGTGATGGTGGGGTAGGGGTAGGGTGGAAGTAGAGGTAGTGGTAGGGTGATGGTAGATGTATGGGTAGAGGTAGAGGTAGGGCGGTGGTAGAGGTAGAGATATGGTAGTGATAGAGGTAGAGGTAGGGCGGTGGAAGAAGTAGAGGTAGGGTGGTGATAGAGGTAGGATGGTGGTAGAGGTAGAGGTAGGGTGGTGGCAGTATAGGTAGAGGTAGGGTGGTGGTAGATGTAGGGGTAGATGTAGGGTAGTGATCAGGCGCGTACGCAGGATTTTTTCAAGGGGGGGGGGTTTAACATTTATAAATCGGGCCGAAAATTTCGCAACGACTCAGTCAGCCGCTGAATTAGCGGGGGAGGGGGGGGGGGGGGGGGTAAGAGGTCACTTTTTTTTTTTTTAGTCCCAGAAAAAAATCGCAACGACTCAGCCGACCGCTGAATAAGCGGGGGGGGGGGGGGGGGTAAGAGGACACCAAGGGGGGGGGGGTTTAACCCCCCAACCCCCCCCCCCCTGTGTACGCGCCTGGTAGTGATAGAGGTAGTGGTAGGGTGGTGGAAGTGGTAGGGTGGTAGCAATAGAGGTAGAGGTAGGGTGGCGGTAAAGGTAGAGTTAGAAGTAGAGGTAGGGTGGTGGTACAGGTAGAGGTAGTGTAGTGATAGAGGTAGAGGTAGGGCGATGGAAGAAGTAGAGATAGAAGTAGAGGTAGGGTGGTGGTAGAGGTAGAGGTAGGGCGGTAGCAATGTAGTTAGAGGATGGGTGGTGGTATTACAAGGTAGAGGTCTGAATTCTTCCTCCAATTTAAATTGATTTTTTAAATTGTCATGAACTCGAAAACTCGCGCAATTTATATTCACTAATGCACTCCTAAACATGAATTATGTATATAATACTCTAACTTGATTAAAAATCAAAATGTTAGGCCTATTATTATATTATTTCCATGTACTTTATCCAAGTCTTTATTCGAGTTACGCCTACCAAAATCCCTCACAGCATCCATATCTTATCTCTCTGGTTCTCTCTCCCCTCTCTCTGTATCATTGTCTCTGTCTATCTTTCCCTCTTTCTCTCTGCCTTCTCTCTTTCTGCTTGTCTCCCCCTCTTTCTATTAGGTCTGTCTCTATGTCTCTCTAACTCTTCCACCTGCGAATCCCTTCCTCCCTCCCATCTTCATACTCTCAAACCTTCACTCTTGGTCTTTTATTCTTCATCTACATAATTATCATTCAATATCTTGTCGTATTTTATTTAACCTTTTCTCTTTTTCAATACTCGTGGTCTTCTTCTTTTCCTTCTTTTTTTTAAATTTTTCTTCTTCTTCCTCTCGCGGGTCTTCCTGTTTTTGGAGGCCATTTTCTTCTTCTTTTTTTTTCTCAGTTTGATTGCATGTATATTTATGAATTAAAAATGTAATATATATTAGCTTGCACTCGAATCGTGCTTCATCATTGTCATGTTATTATTGTTTTTTAAATGAAAAAGTGACGTCGTCAACCATGGAGGCCATTTTCCCCTACTTTTTCCTCTTTTCTCAGTCCAATAGCATGTCTCTTCATAAATGAAAAATGTGATATTTAATATAAGTATTAGCTCGCACTTGAATCGAGCTTCATCATTACCGTGTTATTATTATTCTTAAATGATAAAGTGACGTCGTCAACTATGGAGGCCATTTTCTTTTTACTTTTTTCTCTCTTTTGTTGTTGTTGCATTTTAGCATTGCATATCGGCCTCGATTGGCTGAAGTTGCTTTTGAATAATTGATACACATCACTTTGCTAACATGGTTATTTGCTTGCACTTTCCCAACACTGCATTCATCAGTTTATGATCCCCAACTTATCCTAATCATAGTATAAATAAATTCGGTTTTCAACAATTATACTAATGGAGGTGTTCATGCCCTGTATTATTGAATAGATAATTTGGATGATATGTGTATGTCATGCACGATGCATTGCACTTTTGGTCTCCATGAGGATCATTCTTCTCATCTCATTTCTATTTGTTACCAACACCGAGAAAAAATGGTTTCATTTTGGCAGGTTTGAAGTTCAGTGAAAAACGAAATTGAATCATATTATATTATTATAATGGAGGCATTTGAAATATTATAAAAAAAACTATACTCTGACGGATAAACAGTATTTAGAGTTGCAATGTTTGCCTAAATAAATTATGTAACAGAATGAAACCCCGAATATAATCTCGATAATCAGAATACATTTGTGAGCGTTAACCAAACTGGCTCTATCACTATTTTGTATTTATTCAGGGCGTATTTTCTGTGTCTACATTTTGAATGTTTCTTCACAGAAAAACATTAAAAGTTCTTTAAATGTATTATGATAAAACCATGAACTTATGAATGTACAAAACAAACTACTCTTTGGAAATCGTTACTCTTTGCCAACCTTCTTCCAACCGCATATATCATTATTTGGTTTCAAAACATACATATAATGCACAATCATAACAATGGATTCTCTTTTTAGGTGTAACACATACTGTAAAAACAGCTTAATTTTAATAATGTCACAGCAACCAACAGCACAGAAGGAATAAGAGTAAAAGAAAACGTTTGGCAACGAAATGCTAATGTTTTTGGATTAGAAGAGTCATATTTCTAAATGAAATGTAGTCTCGACCGATGCTGAGCACACCGAGGCCTATATCATCCCTACGAAAGCACTATAACATATCCTATATGTACTATCAGAATATTAGGAATCCATTCCTTTTCATTATAATTAAATAAATATTCCAAATACAGATTCATATTTTGCACTCTAAAAGATGCATACAGATATATTTATATATATATATTTAAACGAATTCCACTCAAAATATTAATCAAACTGATGAAGGTATATTGATGTTCACACATTTGACTATATCAGAAGATTAGATCTTCGTCATTATCAGTAACACATATAAACAACAAATTTGAAGGAAATAAGTTATCAATATACTGAAATATATATGTACAAGTAGTGTATATGATTAACAAACAATTGATAGTGATTTTTATACAAGTGTCTCTAATCGGTTTACCGATAGGTAAATATTTCGACAATTCGAGTAACACTTCTGCATTTTCAAACTGCAGACTGCATTCAGATTTCGTACATAATGATATTGGGCTATAATAATGTTTCATGCTTTTTGTGGCCAAGATATGAAAATCTTAGTTATGATTTTGGAAATTTTGATATCAAGTATTCGAACAAGCATGTTAATAACTTATCACTTCAGTTTATATCATGCATACAGACTTGTTACTGACACTGTCTGAAAATTGCGGCATTGTTTACATGGCTCCATTAATTTAATATTGGAAAGCTAAACAGAATAAGCAAAACCTCAACAAGACATAACATGAACAAGACAGAACGTATCACGTGCATCGTTCCTCTAAAGCAACCCCTAAAACTTCAGCATTAGCCTCCATTCTAGAAATGTGACTTTCAAGCATTCTTCCTTTAAGATGAGTACACATTAACATAAGTGTATCTACAGCGGGGCAGCTAGTGCTGGTATATAGAAAGTGGTGGAGAGCGAGAGATTTTAAAAGTCCGAAATAAAATATTCTACAAGCAACATTTACAACGCAATTTTTCTTAAATTTGTATACTTTGTATAATAATAGTTATAATAATAATAATAGCTCGTCCTTATATAGCAGGCCCTCTCAATCCACTTTACAGATATATATATTTTGAATAAATGAACTTGATATATATTATTACCCCGGTCATCGAATTCATGCTTACCCGCACACAATGTATGCATATTCTCCACTCCCTGGGGAGCATTCCAGCCAGTCGCCATTTTACAAGCGCCACTTGCCAATCAAACCACATTAACTTTCGCATCCTACCGGGTACCCATTTAACACCTGGGTGGAGAGTGGCAAACGTAGATCAACGTATAGGCCTAGTTAAACCACCCCACCCCCCCCCCCCTCCACTATCATGAGGCGGAAAAAACCTCGGTGGGTTTTTTAATTTTTATGATGACGTAATGATGAAGTGTAATACATTTGTGTATCTTATAACACACAGCTTAGTGAATACGCGCAGGGCATTCGTTGCCATTTTCTCCCCCCCCCCCCCCACACACACACAAAAGCGCTCCTTTGCTTCCTTTTTCTTTTTCCATTTCCATGCATTTCTAGTCTTTATCCCTGTTCTGTTGTTCTCGCGCATCTATCCCTCTTTTTTTTCTTTCTCTGACGTTCTTTTTATTTTATTTTTATTTTTTTTCTCGCAGACTTATCCTCTTTGTTTTTTTAACTTAGCAACTGTAAAGCCCCATTTTTTAAATTTTGTAGTTCGCAGGTTTGGCATGAATTTGTTATTAATTGGTGAGGGCTTCAAAACCAGAAATTCGAATATTTTGTTTCACGTAAGTTGGTTTCATCATCACCCGTCACATATATTTCCAGTTATTTTAAAGTACTGCAGTATCTTCAACACTTCTCTCTGAATAGCCATGACCTGCCCTAAAGATTGAATATTTGAATTAACCTAATATCGATTACAAAAAGGTTTAACTGGAATATGCGTATCCGTTCAAGAAGAATTTTTCAATAAAGATATCAGAATCTCATGAAGATTTTTTTTTACAGACAATTGGAACAATACTAGTTCGCCTTTACAGTGGATCACAGGCACGTACGCAGAATGGGGTGGGGGTGTTTTGGGGCTTAAACCACCCCTCAACTTTTTACTTTAAAAAAAATCACTACTCCACAACAACAAAATGCTGCTCACTACCCCCCCCCCCCCCCCCCACTGAGCAAAATCGGCGCGATTTCCAAATTTTCAAACACCCTCCATGAAAAAATCCTGCGTACGCCACCGGTGGATCATATAACTCAGATCAAGCAGTAAACTCCAGCATCTCGAGAATGATCGCAGTTGTGGCAGCCCCATCCGGCATTACTGCAATCAGTCAACCTGGCTTCATTTCCCGAACAGTAGAAATAATATATCGGGCCAGATCCTCGTCCGTATGCAGCACCATACCTTGCTACACCAACATTGCCTGAGTATCCAAGCTGTCGACAAACTACCCTCGCGCCACGGTCATCCAATCCGCCATCACAGACTGTCCCCCATTGACCTTCATGGAAGCTGATCTCAACCCTGCCTTCATCTGAACTATTACCGTCAACCAGCCGGATTTCTAGCTCTATTTCATCTTTCAAAATAATAAATGAAGGTATAAATGCTGGTTACTCCTTAATATGAGACTGTCCTAAAATAGACACCCCATTTAACCCGTAAGATTTGACCCCTTATTGCCAAAAAGGTTATAAGCTCGACCGTACTCGTTGAGATTAGCCCCGCGAGAGTCCCCCCCCCCCCCCCCACCTAAAAAAAACACACCAAAGCTGGATCGACTTCATGCCACGTACCTCAATCACCCAACTATGTCAGTAGAAATTAATGAGACTGAACTTTACTAAACACACACGCAAACAAAAAACAGACACAATTTTCTTCTGTATGGCATGTCAGATGCCCCCTAGAAACTGGTATCAATATTTTCTTTTAAGTCCCAAGGATCACAATTTGTCATGAGATAAGTTGCGACTATACATTAATACAAAAACATGAGAACTGAAAATTAAATCACGACTTGCTGCCATAGTGAGTGATTAAGTCAAATAAGAAATTCCAATGAAGATATTTGGAGCTCTCTGCATCAGTTTGGAAGATATTTACAAATAATATTGGAATAATAAGTTCGCCTATATATACATTGGAAACATGTACATGTATGTATAAACGGATGTTCTGAATTTGTATCTACAAGAAAAGGCGCTGTAAATAAGTATGAGTGCTCTCAACCTACCTCCGCAGTAAACTCCAGCATCTTCAGCATGAGAGCAGGCGTGGTTGATCCATCCGCTATTACTACATTCAGTCAACCTGGCTTCAGATCCCGAACAGCCGACATCAGCAAGGTATATCGGGCCAGAACCTCGTCCGTATGTACCACAATGCCAGGCTACACCAACATTGCGTGAGTATCCAAACTGTCGACAAACTACCCTCGCATCAGAGTCATCCCAACCGTCATCACAGACTGTCCCCCATTGACCTTCATGGAAGATCTCAACCCTGCCTTGATATGAACCGTTACCGTCAACCAGCCGGATTTGTCCCTCCATTTCATCTTTCAAAAGTAAATAAAAACGAAGGAATAAGACCTCTATTATGAGGCTGTCCCGAAAGAGTCACCCCATTTTACCCGTAAGATTTTACCCCTTCATGCCACAAAGGTTATAAGCTCGACCGTAGTCGTCGGGTTAAACCCCCAGAGTTCCCCAAAGAAACCCAAAAGCCAGAGCGACTTCATGCCATGTACCTCAATCTAAAATCTTTGCCAGGAGAAAGTAATGAGACTGAACAATTCTTAACACGCACTCACAAACAGAAAAAGACACAATTTTCTTTGGTATGGGATGTCTGATGCCCCTAAAACCCTGTATCAATATGTCTTTTTAGGCCCAAGGACCACATTTTGTCATGAGAAAAGTTGCGACTACATTACAAAAACATAAGAACTGAAAAATAAATCACACTTTGCTGCCCCCAAGTGCTATGGTTTAGGTCTAGAAAGAGTGTGCGATTAAGTCGGAGAAGAATTTTCCATGAAGATATTTGGAGCTCTCTGCATCAGTGTTGAAGACATTTACACAAAATATTGGAATAATAAGTTCGCCTATACATTGGAAAAATGTACATGTACAAACTGGGGTTCTTTGTATCTACAAGAAAAGGCGTTGCAAATAAGTATGAGTGCTCGCAACCTACCTCCACAGTAAACTCCAGCATCTTTAAAATGATCGCAGTTGTGGTTGCCCCATCCGCGATTACTGCAATCAGTCAACCTCGATTCATTTCCAGAACAGTCGATATCATCAAGGTATATCGGTTCAGATCCTCGTCCGTATGCAGCACCAGACCTGGCTACCCCAACATTGCCTGAGTATCCAAGTTGTCGACAAACTACCCTCGCATCAGAGTCATCCCAACCGTCATCACAGACTGTCCCCCATTGACCTTCATGGAAGCTGATCTCAACCCTGCCTTCATCTGAACTGTCACCGTCAACCAGCCGGATTTCTACCTGTATTTCATCTTTCAATATAAATGAAACGAAGGTATAACGCTGGTTACTATTTCATGTGAGACTGACCCAAAATATTCAGCCTATTTTGCCCGTAATATTTCACCCCTCATTGCCAAAAAAGTTATAAGCTCGACCGTAGTCGTCGGGTTAAGCCTCGAGAGTCCCCCAAACTAACCCCAAATCCGGATCTACTTCATGCCATGTACCTTAATCTAAAATCTTTGCCAGGAGAAAATAATGTTTGTTTGTTTGTTTTTATTTCCGTATAAAATCATCACAACATACAAATACATACATAAATGAGATATACGGCGGATAGCCCATTTCAGGTGTATTAACAAAATACGCCTGTTCTTCCATGGGGTCCGGATAAAAAAACTGTTACATACAAATCAGATATTTTATACAATCATAGGGAAATAAGAATTATATAAATTCAATATAACCATTTCATTAAACAAAACATAAACGATATAACTGAACATGTATGATATATTTTCGACTCTAATAAATTTAATTTACATTTAGAATTCATATTCAGTGGATTTTATAAGGGATACAGAACCGCACGAACCCTGAACAAATAAAGTAAAACGAAAGAGAGGTAAACAGATTATTGAGCACATTTCTAAGATATTGTGAAAAAAATTGTCAGATTGGATTTGAAATTTTGAATCGTACAAGCACTACGGGTATATAATGAGGCTATAAACATACTAAACACACTCAAATACAATTGTAAAAACGAAATAAATTTTCTTCAGTATGGGATGTCTGATGCTCCCTAAAACCCTGTATCAATTTTTCTTTTTAGGTCCAAAGACCACATTTTGTCATGTGAAAAGTTGGGACTACATTACGAAAAACATAAGAACTGAAAAATAGATCATGCTTTGTTGCCCCAAGTGCTCTGGTTTAAGTTTAGGTAGAGCGTGTGATCAATCGAAAAAGGAAGTTACCATGAAGATATTTGGAGCTCTCTGCATCAGTGTTGAAGACATTTACACAAAATATGGGAATAATAAGTTCGCCTATACATTGGAAAAATGTAAATGTATCAACAAATGGGGATGCCTTGTATCTACAAGAAAAGGCGCTGTAAATAAGTATGAGTGCTCTCAACCTACCTCCACAGTAAACTCCAGCATCTTCGGAATGATCGCAGTTGTGGTTGCCCCATCCGCCATTACTGCAATCAGTCAACCTGGCTTCATTTCCCGAACAGCGGACACTATCAAGGTATATCGGGCCAGATCCATGTCCGTATGTTGCACGACTCCTGGCTACACCAACATTGCCTGAGTATCCAAGTTGTCGACAAACTACCCTCGCATCAGAGTCATCCCAACCGTCATCACAGACTGTCCCCCATTGACCTTCATGGAAGATCTCAACCCTGCCTTGATCTGAGGTGTAACCGTCAACCAGCCGGATTTCTCCCTCAATGTCATCTTTCAAAATAAATAAAAAGAAGGAATAAGACCTCTATATAGTATGAGATGATACTGTCCCAAAATAGTCCCCCCATTTTACCCGTAAGGTTTAACCCCAAATTGTCAAAAAGGTTATAAGCTTGACCGTAGTCGTCCAGTTAGCCCCGAGAGTCCCCAAAAGGTAAGAGGACATAATTATTACCCCCTTTTTTGTTTGGTCCCAAAAATTTGAAAATTTCTCGGATCGACCTTTCGTTCCGTTGGGAGGGGGAGGGGGGGGGGTAAGGTCACCTTTTTTAGGTCACCTATTAGCATAATTATTTTTTAGTTTTTTGTTTTATTATTATTAAAAACAAATTATAATAACAAAAAACAAAGGGGGGGGGGGTTTCCTCCAAAATACACACATCAAAAACCCAAGGGGGGAGGGGGGTTAACCCCCAACCCCCCCCCCCTCCCCTGCGTACGCGCCTGACTCCCACATTCGACAAAGAATTGCTTTCTGAACTTATTTCCTTGTCAATTTTATTGTATTCTTATTATCTGTAATGTTACCCTTGAACATGTATTTAATATGTATTTCAAATTTCATAATTTGTTTTACTTTGTATATATATGTTTTGTAGGCTATATGTTTTTTTTTAACGAAAAGTGGAATAGATACTAATCGTACCAATAGGGTATATATATATATATATATATATATACATGTATGCATTTGAATATATATACATATATATTATGTCTGTGTGTATATCGACATGCATGAATTACCCACCTCAAAACTCAAATCATAAAGTGTTCGAACGTCAAAAATCTGTCTATTGTAGTAAATGTACATGCAGTGAGTGAACGATAGATATATTGAGAGAGAGAGAGAGAGGGGGGGGGGGGGAGAGAGAGAGAGAGAGAGAGAGAGAGAGTCTTGTGTTGTACTTAAGTCTCAAGAAGAAATATGATATATGCACCTAATAATACAACCTGGGTGCAAAATACATTTATATTCATATTCACCAAACTTTAGAAAATCTTACTGGACAAATCATCACATAATATTCAACATGAAATTGAATAGAGAGAGAGAGAGAGAGAGAGGGGGGGGGGGGGGGGAGAAAGAGAGAGAGTCTTGTGTTGTACTTAAGTCTCTAGAAGAAATATGATATATGCACCTAATAATACAACCTGGGTGCAAAATACATTTATATTCATATTCACCAAACTTTAAAAAATCTTACTGGACAAATCATCACATAATATCCAATATGAAATTGAATAGAGAGAGTGAGAGAGAGAGAGAGAGGGAGAGAGAGAGAGATAGGAGAGTGAGAGAGAGAGATGGAGAGAGACAGACAGAAAGAGAGAGAGAGAAGGTGAGAGAGAGACAGACAGAATGAGGAAAAGAGAGAGAGATAGGAGAGTGAGAGAGAAAGAGAGGAAGAGAGAGACAGAGAGAGGGGAGAGACAGACAGAGAGAATGGGGGGGGGGGAGGGGTGATACTGAAGTTTTCTTACGAGTAGTTGTGATATGATGTGAGGTGGTTGACCCCGCCGTAGGTAGAGTTGTGGTGTCTTGTGTAGTAGTTGATTCTGGATAATAAAAGATGATTATAAAACACATGATTATTTGATTCACAAATAGTTTCACAAAGCCGGTTCGGAAAATTGAATGAGAAACGGCAAAATAGAGAACTCTCGCTATTTAATAAAAATTTTGCTGGAAAAATCATCACATTTTATTTAAACCCTTGTTGTGAGTGCCGAGAACAAATTCTTTACTGAAGTTTTCTTACGAGTAGTTGTGGTAGGATGTGAGGTGGTGGATTCCGTCGTAGACATCGTTGTGGTGTCTTGTGTTGTATTTGATTCTGAAGAAGAAGTATGATAAAAAAACCTGATGATACTATCAGAGGGTAAATACATCTAAATTCATATTTACCCAAATTTAACAAATCTTACTGGACAAATCATCACATGATATTCAATTCCTAGCTTTTGACACATGAGCGGCTGCCGAGAACGAGAACAATAAGTTGATTCACGTCGTAGAATATTGTATAATGGGCACGAGAAGTCACGCGTGCAATTATGATGAAATTCATTGAAGTGTCGGCGGCGCCTGCCAGGTAGCTACCATGCCAACCATTTTTAACCTGGAAATATGTTCAAGAACCGGCACGCACCCGTCGATGATGCCGAGCTAAAAAAAATAAAGGGCTGATTTATTTAACACCAATTACAGGAGATTACTGAAATAAGAAATCAATACAAGATAATGGACACGCGAATTCACAAGTACATGTTGAAATGCATGGAGATGGCATGCCAGGTGGCTACCATGCCAACCATTTTTAACTTGGAGACACGTTCCTTCAACCCGGCACGCGCTCGTCGAGGATACCGAGCCTTTAGTAAAGGGCTGATTCATTTATACCCCCTTCACAGATAATTACCAGCTATTATCTTAGGGACGTTGCTCTTCGAACATTTTTTGTTTATGCATTTTTCCTACTATGTATTATTATTATATATTGTAACCAAGTTTTATTATCTGTAAACAGTTATTTTACATGGTGAATAAATAAAACAAACAAACAAACATACCCAGATTTTTCTTACGAGTCCTCAGGGATCGCCAACTCGTATTCAATCGCAAGCATCGTAAATTACCCGCTGGTGTCCGTGAATAACTCGTCACAACTCGCAATAACTCGCAGACACACATGTCAAAAATCTTCTTACGATTGTCCACGGATTGCTTTTTCCGTAATCCATAAGTACTGTAAACCGCTCGCACCAACACGTAACTATCCGTAAACTGCTCTCAAGAATCTGTAAATGACTCGTAACAGTTTTTTTTAACGATGTTTTTCCCTGTTAGTATACGATTCGTTTACGGATTATTTACGGATTATTACGAATGTTTACGTGTTGTTGACGATTTCATTCGGGTCGTGTTACGATGACTTTACGGATTGTTACAAGAATTATTACGAGCAGTTTTCGTGTACTTACGAGTACTTTACGAATAGATACGTATTTTTTTACGTATTCTAACGTATTTTCTATGATTTGGGGGAAGATATAAGATCTGCAAACTCGTGAGGACTCGTAAATACTCGTAATTAACTCGTAACTTTTCGTAACAATCCGTAAAAAGCTCGTAAAATGCCCGTAAGTTGATCGTAGTAATCCGTGACAACTCGTAACAAATCGTGGAATTCTTCCGTAAGTACATCGTAATATCTTGTTCTAATCCGTTATAAATCGTAAATAGCTCGTAAAACTCTTAAATCGGTCGTTAATGTGTTCAAATCTTAAGGATCCGTGATTTTGTGCGATCCTTTAGGACACGTAAGAAAAATCCGTGTATGTGAAGGGGGTTTTAAGACCAATTACAAGAAATTACTAAAACAAGAACTCACCACAATGATTAATGATAGGAGAGAGAGAAGAGAAGTGGGAAAATATGGATAAAATAGAACTCAAGAGAGAAAGAGAAAGGCAGAGATAAAGAGAGCGCGAGAGAGAGAAAGTGAGGGAGAATGAAAATATTGCGAAATATATAACGTAAGTGGTAAGGTGAGCATGCTGACTCAAAATGAATAAGAGAGAAAGCGACAGACAGAGATAGAGAAAGAAAGAAAGAGAAAGAAAGAGACAGAAAGTGAGAGGGAGAGAGAAAGAGAGAGAAAGAGAGAGAACGAGAGAGAGAGAGAGAGAGAGAGAGAGGGGGAGAGAGAGAGAGAGAAGGAGAAAGGGAGAGAATTGGATGACAAAAAAAAAGAGAAATGGGGTAAGAAAGATAACAAAAGCAAAAGCGAGAGAGAAAGGTGAAAGATAGAGAGAGAGAGAGAGAGAGAGAGTGTGTGTGTGTGTGTGGATGGCAAGGGGGCGAGAGGGGGAAAGGGGGTGGTGGCACGGAGACAGAAAGGAAGGGGGTCTGGTAATCGGTTGATTACGATGTACAGTCATGCTACCTTTCATTTTGACAAAGTTGATCATTTTGCTCGAATTCAGGTTACTAGCAAAAATAAGTTCTATAGATGATTTTATGTTTCGTCTAACCGACTTGTCAGATACTTATTGTTAATGTCTTTATTCTCACCTTTATTGCAACGTTTCCCTCGATTTCCGGCAGAGCAGTGGCATTTGTAGTTTTTCATAGTCTCCTCACACCAGCCGTTTCCACAGATATTTTTGCCACAATCTAGTAAAAAGAGGAGACAGGACAATACAAGTATAGAATACAATTACTTCTGCTACTCACTCATACCCTTGACGCATATAATACATCACTGTATTCTTTCAGGTAGGCTTACTGCTCCTAATCACTGGAAGAGGCTCATGGTGAAAAAGAGGAAGTCATGTAGTTACAGGTCAAACTTAAAGCCCCACTGCACTACTTGCAGCTACTTGCTCCCTCTATATATAAAACAATGCCTAAGCGATGCCCGTTGGTCCCCCATGATCCTCTTTTACTTATGTTAATTGAGAGTTGAGTTGATGAGATAGCCACCTGTCAGTGACCAGCAGGGTGGTTTAATCCCTCCTGGCCAAACTAGTGCAGACGGACTTTAAATCTACATACAATGACATATTCAAAAATAATAATAATAATTATATTAAAAAAAAATAATGAAAATAATAATAATAATGAGGATGATAATAATGATGATAATAACAATAGTGATAATGATAATACAAATAATAATGACAATACAAATAATAATATTGATAACAATGTCTATCCTGTAGCATCCCAATGAAGGTCCAAATCTCCTACTGCTATTACTTTATCCACGCTGCATTCCATTCTTTATATCAATATTAATCCGGTAACTTTGTCTCAGATCCAACTTTGTTGCCAATGTCTCAAAAATGGTCTCCAAGATATACATCGAATCTTATGACGCTTTTGGCAAGGATTTACACTTTTACATTTTCAAATTAATCGAACACTAGAAAAGATTATATGTTTAATCATGTTTATAGCAGGCAAAGAACGAATTACCAGGAAATCTGCACACTCTGTGTCCGTGTGGGATCCCCAGTTTACTCTTCCTTCTTGGACAAGCAGCTTCCGCAGATGTGTATGGGATGAGCTTTGGAATGGTCCGTACCATGCTGCCATTAGGATGCAGTTTCATCTTACATTCGTTGAACATTGGTAAGGTGTAGTTCAGCCGTAATCCGTCCGAACAACGAGTGCCCGTCTTTTCATTCGAAGAAACGAGAGAGGCTTTGAACGAGATACGAACCAGGAGATAATTTAAAGTAATAACTATAAATCTCTCGTGGTATTAACCAGCAACATTTCCGTGTAAATTCTAAACTTTATAGGCCTATGAGGATTGTATTGGGAATAGTGCATCAAACATTTTTTCAAATTTGGTACTCCGCCGTTCCTTTAATTTGTGTGCCAGAGTTGGTAAAAGAAAAAAAATCCTGACAAAAACTCAATATGTTAGGATAATCCGATTATTTTCGCATGTTTTAATGACCCGTCATTTCAATCATGATTTACAATCGTCGATAACCTTTAAGTTTGCTAATGAGTGCTTTTTGTATTTTTGCAGTTGGAAAAAAGTATGAAATTACAAAAGTTTGTGTTTGCTTGTTGAACTCATTATACATTCAACAATTGAAAAGAAATCATCGAAACGGACAGCGAACATTTGCTGATATATATTGATATTTCATGCGCTCTTTTATCTCAAAACCTGGGGAGGTTTCATGAAAATCGTAACTCGAACTTAACTCTAAGTTGGACTTAAAAATTATGGAGAGCCAGTTGTAGCCTTAAAATAAAGATATTCAAAAGCGAAGATTCAAGTATTTTAGATTTTTCATAAATTCCACATCAAGAAAATGAAGTCTCCTTGATAATAGAAAATAAGAATGATTTAAACATTATTTTTTTGCCTTTTAAAATATCTTTCACAAACTATTTTCATAGATGCTCGGCTTTCCATAATTGTTAAGTCCAACTTAGAGATAAGTTCAACTTAGTATCTTTGTGAAACACCCCCCCCCCCCTGGTCGACAGTTGCAGATATTAGCGCATAACTTTTCAGCGGCTTGGAGCATGGGGTCAAAGGAGAGCGGCTTGATTCAACTCCTTCTCTATCACCTCCCTGCTCATTTGTATGTTCTTTTTTGACATGTATTGAAAGCGCCAAATAAATGAATAAATATACAAAAAATAAGAACGACAACATTCTGATCAACAATGTCATTATCTATGTTTCATTGTGTTTATGTTGAATACCACTGCTACTGCTACTACTACTACTACTACAAATATAAATGTTATAATAATGATAATAATAATAAAGATGATAATAGATCATCGTTGACCAGAATCATACGTACCGAGGGATACACATGTCAGGAAAACAAGAATCACGCCTCGTATGAGATCTTTGTCCTGTACATGTGAATACAAGAAATGGAAAAGGCTTCATATTAGATGGTGATAGGCATGAAGTTCGATGATCAAAATGTTAAATAATACTGATGGGAAAGGGGAATATAAGAAGGGGCACTTCTCAAATTAAAATGGCACTTATTAGAAGGGGAAAGGCACTCAATATAACAAATTGAAGGGGGCACTTATCACACGTGAGAAAGGGCATTTTAGAAGTAAATAGGGGCCCTTTTCCTCAATCAAAAGGAGCATTTTTCAGCTGCTTGAAAAATTTGGGAGGGGGTTAGGGGAGCGCCATGTATTTCTTACTTCTGGGTATTGCAATAAGCTTGGTATTTGTATTCGTCATGTGGAATCATGGAATATGGCAAGGACAACGCGGGGCCGCGTTCGCGATCGATAGAAGATACCGTATGGGCTATTTATCGCTGCGTTCTCTCGTTTAGAAAGTTATATTACTTGTGGATGTGCCGTAGAGCTAATTCCTAATCATTGTTTCATTTTATATCTGTGTTGACAGACAGTGGATCTTACATGGGATACGTGTATATACTTATCCATTTACGATGCACTGTACGTATATCTGTATATACATGTATGGATATAGAACAAATAATTTAATTCAATTATTTATGTTTGTAATCAAATAAATAAAGGCGAGGACTCACCATTTTGACCGATGGAAAAGAAATCCCATATATTCGATGAAATCCAGTCGAGCAAAAGTTGATAGATTGTATTTTGTTCTTACGATGTTGTCTTTACATCTCTAATAAAGTAAACTCTCAGAAGACAACAAGTATTGAAAACGTGAGGCAAAAATCAAAGAACACTACACTTTAGTTGTCTTCATTCCCGGACTCCTCAAAAGGAAGTTTAAAAACAAACGTGAATAAAGATCCAGTATTACAAATAGTCTGTTTATTTAATTTTTCGAAATCGCATTTATATTCACAATACGAATTGCCTAACTCTGTTTAGACAGCGAAATGAGAAACGATGAACACGTCTACTGAAACACTCGGAAATTAACGCCAACTTTCGCGGGTTAATATCCAATATGCCTCGGATGTCGCAGTTAACAGGCACCCTTATCAGGAAGGTCTGCGTAGCGAGACACGCCCATCTCAAGTAACCAATCAACGCGAGGAACACTCAGATGTTGATGGTGGTTATTTTACCTGACTGCTAAGAAAGCATAAATGCCTGTAAGTAAGCAACCAGACGGCCGACGGCTTTAGGTCCTCTCCGAGGGACCTTGTAATGAGGATTAATGCCTTAGCAAAGGGCCTAGCGCATCGTCTTGGTTTCGAACCCGGGTCACCGGATTACGAGACCAAGTACCGACTGAGCTATCGCTACTTTATCTCTCCTACAATTCTCTACTGCACATTTTTCTCCTCACGATTCTCGACCGTCAGCACTTGCCACATCCCCACCGTCTTTGTTACTTTTTTCCATTCCGTTGCTTTCCCTCTCTCTTTCTCTGACCACAATTCCTCTGGTTAGGATTAACGTTGATGTTGTTGTTTTTTAGTTTTAATGGCGTATATTATTCATTCATGAATATTTACGCTTCTTCTTCTCATTAGTCTTCTCACCACCGCACCCAAGCCGCCGTTGAACCAGGGATTTGAGTCCCATCTCCCTGGTCTCACCTCCCTGGTTAAACCTGATATATGTACTTGGTTGGGTCGTATATCTAAACATGCAGTCTAGCCTTTTGGTCTTTGCCTCTTGGTTCTTACTAATCTCTATCGATATTTTTATCTCTTTTACAATTCTCAACTGCACATTTTCTCCTCACGGTCCTCGACCGTCACCATCGCTTTTTTTTGCTACTCTCTACGATGCGGCATTACGTATGTAACAGAACTTTAACCTTATGAACGACGTGTTATTTGGTTGTTTGTTTGCCTATACTCTCGGCCTGTCATTAATTAATGGTAACAGGGTTGTACCAAACAATAGTCAACACAATCATTTCTACTTTTTGTATATCCTTGATTATTAAATGACTTTGTACATGAACGGAGAGTGGATTTTTTTAAAAACACCAAATCTCCCCTTGAGTTTATACATGTGTTATGTCTCGATTAAAGCGGCAGATCAACTAATTCGTCTACATGACGAATTCAATGTCTATTTACTCGTTGTCTTCCTCTTCTTCTTCTTGTTCTCCTTATTTTTATTCTCCTTTTTCTTCTTCCTTTTCTTCATCTTTTTGTTCGTGGGTCTTCCTCTTCTCATGGGTTTTCCTCCTATTGGAGGCCACTCGTCTTCTTCTTCTTTTTGTGATATTTGATATAAGTATTAGCTTACACTTGAATCGAGCTTAATTATTGTAATGCTAATTTTTGTTATGATCTGGTGACGTCGTCAGTTATAGAGGCTATTTTGTTTAAATTTTGTTCCCTCTTTTGGGGGTTATATTTGCATCTTAGCATTACATATTGGCCTTGAGTGGCGAAAATTGTTTTTGAATCATTGATACAGATCACTATTTGCTTGCGCTTTCTCATCACTGCATTTATCAGTTTATGATCACCTACTTATCCTAATCATAGTAGAATTAAATTCGATTTACAAAAATTACACTAAAAGAGGTGTTCATGCCATGGCTCATTGCTTGGATACTGATGATATGTGTATGTCGTGCACGATTCATTTCACTTCTGGTCGTCATGGCGTTCATTCTTCCTCATTTCGTTTCTATTTGTTACCGATGTAGCCTTTAAACAAGGCCACATGTAAGGTTTATTTTGTACTTCTTTGAAATATAGAATTACATGTTTAAAATTAAGCTATATTGTTATCCAAAACAATTGATCATTTTCATCGATTTTTTTGATAAAACCCCCATTTGACCCTTGATAGGTCTTACCTTAATAGAAATTACTTATACTGTGTAGATAATCTTTCAGTCGAACAACAATCTTGAAGTTTACAGCACCGAAAGATGTTTTCCAAGCAAGAAACACGTGGAATAGTGCTTATTCGCACACAAATATTAGATGGAAACGCTTCAAGTGCTATAAGTACATGTAATTTTTTTGGTTGCAATTGATTACTATCTGAGATTTTATAGAACGGGTGTGTTCCAGCAGAAGGAGCATTGCAGACAATGGCTGGCTCAATTTCTGAGGAAAGATGTGTCATGCATCGGACCAATCAGAGAGCTGCATAGTGTGTACATAAACTCCCTTTCATGGTTACATAAATTTGGCGATATATAAACATTATGAATGGTCTATATACGAATTAATATGCAGCGGCGGATCTAGGATTTCCGAAGAAGGAGGGGGGCAAACCAACGTTTGCGCAAAGCGTGCTGCTTGCCCTTCTGGATGGGGTTCAAGGGCCCGTATCTTGGCCCCTATTGTGGTGCAGAGCCCCAGGCGTTCTCGAGTTTTAGCCATTCAGAACCTTCAAAATAGCCGTCTTGAGCGATAGAAAGATATAGACTCTCTTCTGGACAGTTTTCTACAACAAAGGGTTGTCTTGGGAATCACTTTTGGGGTCCAGGGACACATATAGCTCCGTTTAGTCTCATTTGTCAACGCCCCCTTTCGGCAGAGTCCAGCAGCCTAACATGTACGTTAGCCTATGGACTTTTACCCCCCCCCCCCAAAAAAAAAAAAGTTAAAAATTCATTTTTTTGTTTAAACGAAAAGCACATCCACCCCGACGTACGTTATCACTAGCTCTTTCATTGGAACCCTCATGTCCCATTGACTTTTGAAAGTTCACCCACCGCAATATGATCAAAATAGGTCGCAAGCTCGCCATTGCCTATATACTGTAACACATGTGCAACAAGTCGAACTTTGGACTCAATTTCCCACGCGATTGTAAGGTTATAGGTCAAGCACACGAAGGATAACAAGCATGAACTATCATAGATCAGTTCTGATTTCTTCATTATGTCCATTTCAGCCAACCCCCCACTGTAATTTTTGCCGAGGTAAGCAAATACATGAATATTCATGAACGCCATGGACTCTTCGATTATTTACAGATTATTTACCACATCAAACTCCCCTACTTTCAGTCAAGTATTTCATTTTATTATGTAGTTTGGTAGGTTTATCTGTGACCTGTGATGTACACAGTTTACTCGTCATTGTAGATTTGTGATTAGCCATCTGTCATGTTTAGTCTTTAATTGTGGACAAACATACAATTACCACACACAGGAACACTCTCACTTCCCCTCCCCAACACACCATTTCCGCACACCTGGTTCACACATCATACCTAATGGAATATACACCCTGCAACAAAGTGGAACATCCTAGTTGGGTAGTGACGGCGAACTAGCTACGTTTGTGCTGGCAATTAATGGTCCAGCGAGCGAAAATGAGACAACCGGAGCAATATGAATGCCCTTCCGTAGGACTAAAGGGAGCCCCCGGACACTCTCGAGTTTGAAGACTTCAGAATCTTCAAGATAGCCGACACAAGCGATATTAATTTTCTCATTGATGTCAATACAACTATGTAAAAGAAATTTTAAGGAAATGATTGTTAATGTCTGAAATATATTGGATTAACCAACAAAATACCCTAATAAATTATGATGCCAACCTGTTCACCTTGGTATTTTTATTGGGCTAGACCAGTTTTACTTCTAAATTCTTCCTCCAAAATGGATTTTTATAAATTTTCATGAAGTCGACAAGTCTCGTTTGTTATCATATTGCGACTTAACGTCGTGCAGTGTATATTCACTAATTCACTCAGAAACATGAAATATTCATACAAAACTATATCTTGATTAAAAATCAGTATATATTCACTAAATGCACATGAATTATTAGGTGATCCGTCGCGTAGCGATCCAGCGTGAAAAATACCCCTTTACCGGACATTTTGGGAACACGCATGCGGTCCCTCCGACCCCGGATTGGGGGGGGGGGGCTTTGAACACGGTTGAAGGTTAGTCAGGTGATGACAGACGACTTACAGACTGCCCTCCTCCTCCTTCTCCTCTTCCTCCTCCTCCTCCTCCTTTTCCTCGTCTTACTGCGCAGACGCTGTCAAGTTTTCTGATGTCTCTTTAATCATAAATCCTATTCAATCTAATTATAAGAGGTGAATTTCCGTACCTGTCTAACGAATAAAATCTGACATAGAAATACGCATGAATATAAATACTATCCCCAAAAAGTATAATATGGGGAAAGGAACTATTATAAAGATCGCCCCCTCCCCTCCTTATTCTTACATATTACACTTTTTGTTTAATGTTGTTATCAGCGGGCATATTTAACAACTTAATGCTTTTTATTTTCTTCTTTTTTATTCCAATTCTTTTCTGTTCTGTTCCCTTCTTCAACTTCTTCTTCTTCTTCCTCTTCTTCCCCGCCCCCTCCTACCTCTCCTTCTTCTTCCCCGCCCCCTCTTGCCTCTCCTTCTTCTTCTTCTTCTTCATCTTCTCCTTCTTCATCTTCTTCTTCTTCTTCTTCTTCTTTTTCTTCTTCTTCCTTTTCTTCTTCTTCTTCTTCTCTTCTTCCCCACCCCCTCCTACCTCTCCTTCTTCTCCTTCTTCTTC